TTATCGATGGGTACATCCCCGTTGCACGGGAGAGGTGACAGTAGAGTTGTGGGAAGCGCTCAAAGAACAACCCGAGACCGCTACAGAGGCTAGGAGCAAGTGGGAGTGGATGGAAGATCTTACCAAGCCCCCCATGTACATACGAGGGAGAAAGGGACGTAATGTATCAATCACTGTACAGCTGGAGACCCTGGATACCCACGAAACGCACTCCATGAAAGCGCTCGTAGACAGCGGAGCCACTGGTAGCTCGATCGACCAGGCCTGGGCCCAAGACCACGCACTCAACCTTAAAAAGGCGGCCCGACCCGTTCCGGTTTATAATGCTGACGGAACACGAAACAAGGGAGGTGACATCACCGAATATGCCGAAGTACAGCTACGCATAGGAGATCACATGGAACAGATCGAACTAGCCGTAGTCGACCTCGGCACCACCCCTCTATTTCTCGGGCATGACTGGCTGCAGCGGCATAACCCGCTCATTGATTGGAACACCGGAGCAGTCACCTTGGCTCGTTGTGCCTGTCGCAAAATCCCATTTTCACTCCCGGATACGGACCCTTCGTCCAGGTGGGAGGAATACGAGGAAGGAGACACAATCCTGGTAATAGACTTTGAGGAAGCATTCCAAGTACGAGCTATGGGTACCAAGTCCAACGAACTAGCCGCTCAGGCTAACGCCCGAAAGGAAATGAAGTCTTTCAAAGAAATAGTACCCAGCGAGTATAGGGACTTCGCAGACGTCTTCGCCAAGGAAAGCTTTGATGAACTACCCCCACAGAAACCCTGGGATCATGCCATCAAACTTATCCCTAATGCCAATGCCAACCTGGACTGTAAAGTCTACCTGCTTAACCACGCGGAGCAAGAAGAGTTAGACAGGTTTTTAGACGAAAACCTATCCACCGGGCGTATCCAAGCCTCTAAATCCCCGATGGCCTCACCGTTTTTCTTTGTAAAGAAAAAGGATGGCAAGCTGCGTCCGGTCCAGGACTACCGTAAGCTTAACGAAATGACCATCAAGAATCGTTACCCGCTACCCCTCATCGGAGAGCTCATGGACCGGCTGAAGGAGGCCAAGTACTTTACCAAACTGGACGTCCGGTGGGGATACAACAACGTTAGGATAAAGCAGGGGGATGAATGGAAGGCCACCTTCCGAACCAACCACGGTCTCTATGAGCCGCTAGTAATGTTCTTTGGCCTCACCAATTCGCCAGCGACTTTCCAATGGATGATGAACGACATTTTCAAAGACCTCATCACCGCGGGGGAAGTATTGGTCTATCTTGATGATATACTTATTGCATCCAAGACTAAGGGGGAGCACAAACGTATAGTATGCAAGGTACTTCAAATCCTTCACGAAAACAAGTTATTCCTCAAGGCGGAAAAATGCGAGTTCGAAGTGGAGGAGACAGAGTACTTGGGCGTACTCATCAGCGAAGGGAAGATCCGCATGGACCCGGTAAAGGTCGCAGGCCTTCTGGACTGGCCTACCCCATCCAAGAAGCAGGAACTCCAGTCTTTCCTGGGATTCTGTAACTTCTACCGACGATTTATCCGAGATTATAGCAAGCACGTTAAACCCTTAACGATGCTCACAGGGAAGGTAGAGTGGAAATGGGGGGGGGCCCAGCGGGCAGCATTCGAGAAAGTCAAGGAATTGTTCCGAGAGGACGTGGTCCTGACCATTCCACTCGACAAAGGGAAGTTCAGGGTGGAAGCGGACTCCAGCGAAGGAGCGGTAGGGGCAGTACTCTCGCAATGGCAGGAGGAGAAGTGGCGACCAGTAGCCTTTCTCTCCAAAGCATTGTCAGTCACCGAACGCAATTATGAAATCTACGACAAGGAGCTTCTTGCTATCATGATTGCGTTGGAGGATTGGCGACAATATCTTATGGGCGCCCAAGAGGATTTCGAGATCTGGACTGATCACTCTAATCTTCAATACTTCCGAAAGCCTCAGAAGCTTAATCGACGCCAAGCTCGGTGGGTGACCGAACTGGCCGAGTACCAGTTTACTTTACACCACAAACCTGGAGCCCAGAACCGTAAGGCTGACTTATTGTCCCGACGAGCAGATCACGACCAGGGGAAGAGCGACAACCAGGACGTGACCGTCTTAAAACCCTCTCACTTTCGAGCACTTATTATGCCCACTACCGAAGAACTTCACGAAAAAATAAGGCTAGCCATGCATGACCCGCGAAAGTGGGATAGGGGTATTTCTGACTCCCTTAATCATGAAAAAGGAGTTTCACGAGACCAAGAATTGCTATGGTATGACGGATGCATCTATGTACCTAGAGACAAACGATTATGAGGCGAGATCATAGCCTTGCGACATGATCATGTAACCGCGGGGCACCCGGGAATAGAGAAAACCAAAGAACTCATACTACGAGACTATTGGTGGTCTCGAATGCGTTCAGAGGTGGAAGCATATGTGAAAGGATGCGAAGTCTGCCAGCGAACAAAGGTGGATCGTCGCCCCAAGAAGGCGCCCCTCCATCCGAACGAAGTCCCTACCAGCCCATGGACGCACATTTCCGTCGACATGATCACCAAACTCCCAGACTCGAAAGGTCACAACTCCATTCTAGTCATTGTCGACAGGTTTTCCAAAACCATTATCCCTATCGCGTGTACGGAAGAGCTCACATCCCTTGATTTCACTAAAATACTCAGGGATCGCATCTACGTACCCTATGGGGTGATGCCAGAGAAGATCATCTCGGATCGGGGGGCAGTCTTCATATCCAAGTTCATGAAGGAATTCTACGCTCTACTTCGCGTGACGGGAAACCCTTCCACTGCCTATCATCCTCAGATGGACGGACAGACAGAGAGGGTTAACCAAGAGATCGAAAAGTATCTCAAAATGTTCGTTAGTTACCGGCAGGACGACTGGAGCGAATGGTTGCTGTTAGCCGCCTTCACACACAACAATCGAAAGCATTCAGCGACCGGCTTCTCCCCATACAAGGTGGTATTCGGAAGGGACGGTCAGGTCATCAGAACCCCCCAGCGCCCGGACATAGTACCAGCGGCCGCCAAACTGGTTCAGGGTATGCAGGAAGTGCAAGAAAAGGCAAGGGAGTCATTGGAACGAGCAGCTGAGTCCATGAAAAAAGCCTACGACAAACACAAAGGCCAAGCGGTGCAATACCAAGTCAGCAACAAGGTATGGTTGGACTCAACCAACTTAAACCTTCCTCGTCCCACCAAAAAGCTCGGAGACCGGCGTGTAGGACCCTTTACCATTGCCACAAAGAAAGGCGCCTCGGCCTATGAACTCAAACTTCCCGTGGGCTGGAAAATTCACAATCGATTCAACGAATCCTTACTGACGCCCTACCGGACGCCTGAATTTCCCAACCAACCCCGACCAGAACGACCACCTCCAGAGCTAATTGATGACGAAGAAGAGTACGAGGTGGAGGAAATCGTGGGTCAGCGCGACAAAACCGTAGGACGGGGACGAAACCGCCATGTGATAACCGAGTACCTGGTCAAATGGAAAGGTTACCCCTCGGAAGAAAACTCGTGGCTGAAACGATCTGACATGGCCAATGCAGAGGAGCTCGTCAACGAGTATGAAGCCCAACTTCGTAAAATTCAATGGGAAGTGGACAAATACGGCCGAACAGTAGGAAGGGACACCGAAATACCTAGAAACCTCCCAATAACTTACCATGAATCGGACACCCCGTGTGTAACGGACATCGTAACCGTTCCATCCTCCCAGTGTACCGCTTCCAGACACTCGGAAAGGCTCAACGTGGTAGGGGAAGTAGCCGGATCGGACGCGGGTCGGAGTGCAGGACAGGTATCCTTCAGTTCGTCTAACAAACGACTGATGGTCGACATCTTCGAAACCATGGACGAGGCGCTCTTGGAGAAGAACAAAAGATACATGCGTGATCATCCCAGTGAGGCAGGCCCCCTCGTACCGTACCCATGGCCCCATGTAAAACACGAGCCCGATGACCCCCGGGTACGAGACTCCTATTTAAGGAGACGGAAACTCGAAATCGAGGCCTCGCGGCAAGAAGATCGACCATATAAAGATCCTCCCGACCTACTGGATCCTCCGTCAGACGACAAGGGCGATGTGAACCTTCTCCAGAAAGTAACCGAAAATTGGGATGATGATGAACGAGCCTCCGACATCGCTTCATACGATTCTGGCGGGGAAGAGTCAGAGTCAGAGGACTCTTTCGTAACAAACATGTCTTGAAGAGGCACTTACGGTGTAGGAGGGAATACATTCTCATTCGGGACGAATGAGTCTTAAGGAGGGGGTAATGTTACGATTTATTCTTTTCTTTTCTTTTTCCTTCATATTACTCAGCCTGATTACTCCTTTGCGATCAGGACGGACACATTCTCACAGTACTATTTTTAGTTTACCAACGTGTATTTAAGTAGAGCCTCAGCTGGTCTAAACCCCAGCTTCGGCTAAGGTTTAATCTACCTAACATCGAACTCCGTTCTTCGTGACTACTTGTCCCATCGACTTTCATCGCCTTTGACTTACTAGAGTACCGTCTACCGAAGTGCGAGTAGCGATCCTAGTACGATCTAAGTCGATAGAGTTAGTGGCTAACAGTTGTAAAAGGGGTGAAAGTTCGAGGGAAAGTCACAAATTCTGAGTCCAGTGTTGATGCTTCATGTCGATGAAGGTTCTCAAATCAACGGCTTTACTTTAGTTAGTTGGAGCTCGTGCTGAAAATTAAGACCATAATGGCTTGAAAAGGAAGTATTCGGCAATTACCGATCCGCCTCTTCTGGGCTCGTTTTGTTCTGGATAAACCATCATGAATCGCCCGACTACACATATACTCTCGTCAAAGTCCATTTCTCTCGCACGTGACACTTTTATCTGGGCAAACCTATTTACGACCGCTCTCATTATTGGTATAATGAGCTCCTTTCAGATTTTCATTTCGACTCTACTGACAAATCTTCACGTAGGATTCAACTCGCATCTTATGCCCATCTCCTGCGCTACTTTGCAACGATGGACGAATGATCTGAATCCAGGGAATTGGAGAGATTTCTCATTACGATGTGCCGTTGTATATGCATACGGAGTCATGACCTCCGCCATTGAGCCCATAGGCGAAGTAATCTCCCCTCTATCCACGGACCCGATCTCTCCAGGAGATTACGGGTGGATCCTTTCTAGTAAGTGTTTTCTGTACTATTATAATTCTTGACATTGAATGACCATTGCGCAGATGGTGCATGTGCATTTCTGGGTATTGTACACCTCGGGATTATGTATTCGTTCAAAGAAATGCAGCACCATATCATAGAGAGCAGGAATCAATACGCGAAATATAGTGATCCACGCACAATGGTTCGATACTCTCTTCGTCTATTGTCGAAAATTATGCTGAAGAAATTCCAGTTTGACGTGCCATCCACTATCAAGGACCAAGTCCGCCAGCGCGATCAAGACTGTTGTCTCGTTACCAGTAACCAGTCCTTGGGAAAGACTGCGGTAACTTGGATTGTGCCTCCCTATTATCACCGAACAGTGAGTTCTTTCTCTTACCTATATGCCTTCTCTCATTCTCCTGCCCCAAGGTATTCCCTCCTACAAGCCTTACAGAGAAATCTGGCCTGGATCGCGAAGATTTAGAAGTACCCTCAAATGCCATACTCCTACATCAGGATCTCATTCCGTACTTTCAAGACAATGCTTTCAGTGTTGATATAGACGTACGTATATCTTTCTATTCTCTTTGTCTAGCGGTACTTAAGTAATTGCAGGACAAATATCGTATCATCCTCTTCCGTGAGATAGGCGTAGCTCGCCACCTCCTTCCTACGCATATGGCTCCCCACGGTGTACTAGACCCTCAGTTCGAGATGTTTCTTAGATATCATTTCCATATGTCTTAAGAGTTAACCTCCTTGATGGTGACATCAGAGAGGACTACAGTGTAGGGACTATCTGTAATATGATGAGCGAACTTGGTGTTGAAGGGGAAGATGGCGACGAGATGGTTCCTCTTTCTGATCCACGACGGCACACGGTACTTGGGCAAGCGATATGGGAAGAAGTCATGAGGGGTAGAATGGCGGAAGCAGAATGAAACTAATACGATATTTTGGATTCGGACACTATGCACATAACATGATGTCGACGGAACGTTAGGGTGGCTTACTTCTTACAAAGTCCGTACATTTATGATGGAATGAATACACCACATATCCTCCACGGATGGCTCTGATGACCGAAATGCGAGTGCTGAAAAGGGAGAAAGGGCCATGAAAGTCATAGAATTCAATTAGTGCAACGAAGGATTTGAACTTGACCTGACTGAATGTCCAGGATGGACCCTTCCAATTAATTTCTGGGAAATCGGCGGAACGCCGATGGAAATTGGATATAGATATATGGACGATCTCAGGCAAAGTGTGTGAGATAGCTGTTAATACAACCGTCTGAACACGGCAATAAAATCGTTCATCGAGGGACACCCGACGACCAGAGCCACAACTCAGGCCGGTCAAGAGAATGAAGGCTGCTGATATAAGCATTTTATCTAAAAGCTTCCAGGAGGAAAAGACGGTCTGAATGCAAACCACCATGAATCGCCCAACTTCACATATACTCTCTTGGCAATCTTCTTCCCTCGAGCACGATACTTTCATCTGGGCAGATACATTTACCTCAGTCCTCAGTATTGGTGAAATGAATTCTGTCTGACGCGGGCGCTTGGATTTTCTGACGAATATTCACATAGGGTTTAACTCGCGCCGAACGCCCATCTCCTGCTCCACTTTGAAAAGATGGACAAAAGAATTGAGTCAACATGTTTGGTGCGATTTCTCGCTAAAGAGAGTGACTATACAGCCATACGGTGTCATGTCGTATGCTATCATGCCTGTAGGTGAAGAAATACACCCTCTGTCGACGGATCCGCTCCCTGCAGGAGATTATGGGTGGTTCTCTTTCAGTAAGCATTTTACGTACCATTTCAAGGTTCAAAATTGACATGAAAATACCGCAACAGCTCATACTCGGATGTTTTGCTCTAGCATAGTATCGGTTAGGTGAGGATGACTGACGATTTCCATACATCAATCGTGATATGAATACCACCATATTTTCCACTGCGAGCCCTTGTGGCTGAGACGAATGCAGAAAACCGCACAAGAGCTGCCGCCATGGAATTGTCCTCCAGGTTCGACTCGGCCAATTGATAGTGGTGGTGCAACTTTTTGTCTGGAGTCGAAAGAGGTTCATTTCTACACAGCATGGAGAGCAAAAACTCAGGTTTTAGCAGTACCGATGTTAACGTTCATCGTCAGCAGTGTGGTTACAACATTATGCGCGATTCGCACTCGCGAATAATCACTGTAATAGGGAGTCGAGTTCATTTCTGACGCTGTTCATTGAATTATCCATCTTCTGAATCTTTGCAAGTCAGACGTGAACGAGTGACCAACGCCGCCTTTTCTTGTACGTTATCATTGGCCTTTATTGTAATCTGTAAGTGACATCATGCTCAGTCCTTGCAGGGTTCGATGGTCGTCATAATCTCATATTGATTATACTGAAAATATACATGCCTAAGACTACCCCCTCCACAGGATGTCGTCTCAGATAAGGCCACTGTTGTTTTGGTGAAGACGCGCAACCGGCTGAAGCCCAGACACGACCTTAGTATGGGCTAACTCTCATCAACGGCGAAGCAGAGGTGATCGCGCCGTTGGTGGAGAACTTCTCGGATCCTGACGTTGAGACTGATATTTGCGGACTTCAGTGCTCGTTAAGGCGAGTTGCGATGCGAAAAGATAAATTGGAATCGGATCCCTTTAGTCTAGGGCTGAGTTAGCGAGACACCATGAAGTGTCGATATCAATACCATGGGCGCTGGATACCGTGCTCGATTGTGAAGAATGGTAGCTATTGAAATAAATATTAGATAAAGGAAGGGAGAACGAAGAGAGATAGATACCGTGATAATTCGCCAAACGCTGGGATTCGCGATCAAATTTGCATACGCCGGACAAGCCTTCAAAAGGGGATCTTTGTCTTACCCTCCTCTCTTCTTTGTATGGACCGGACTAGATCGAAGTCACTGCTGATGGTTGCGCTGATGAGGCCCTGGAGGAACTGTATAAATGGTCCAGGTACAGTGAGTATGGTGAGCGAGCGAGCAGGCTACCAATGCTGAAGCTAGTACTGGAATCGTAGGCCTCTCACACGTAGCGGCCAACACGTCCTGACTTCCTTCGATGCACCAAGCAGCGACTTTGGTAATCGTCTTTCAAGATGAAAAGATTATTCAAGGGAGTGAACTTCGTAGCTTGTCCAATATCACCATGCTCAGCTGTTACTGACATTGGAGATATATTACGGAAACTCTCTGACAAAGGCTCTATCATTAACTAAGCTTTTCATTGGATGATGGTCAATATACCTATACTGAGCTTCGGCCAATGAGCACTAGTGGTGAGCTAAACGCTGATGGTCTAACGTTTATCTGGGAATCCTGACATGATGAACGACTTTTCAGGAGATCTGATGAAGCGCGATTCATCACAACTCACTCAGGGAATTAAGACTAATGGTGATGAGGAGCCTTGGCGGGTGTGGCGAAATTCTGAAAGCGCCTGACTATGTAGCTCGCAAAGCCGAATATGTTAGCTGCAACCTTCAACAGTGAGGTACATTTTGTATGAGCCTTCAAATACTTAAATGGAATGAAACCCTTACCAAAGATCACCAGAGCCAGGCGACGTGTCCACTGCAAACTTCTATTCGGCGTGTTCGACCAAGAAAAGACAAGTAACACATATGTATGACTTTCCCCATCTTATCGGTCGGTGATCAAAGAGTACCGGTGAAGAATTCCTGGGCAGCTAGATGCATGTTCATATGGACCTGTATCAACGATTTATCCGTAGTCAGCGCTACAATGCACTGCTGGGGTGTGCCGGTCTTTTGACCCGAAAACCAGCATGCAAAAACCGGTACTGTCTTGGACGTGTCTTTGGCCCAGAAGATTTGGTGCAAAAAGACCATAACAAATATAGCGCACTTTGTACTTAATTTTTTGTATCTGTATTTCAACCGAAAAAGAGCAAATGGAAAACATGCGGTCTTTGGACAGATCTTCGATCCAGTGGTCTTTGGAAACCAAAAACCTCCGATCTGATTACTGGTTTTTGGTTCGGTCTTTTGATCGGTTTTTGTATTGGTCTTTGGATCATTTCCTTTGTTCTTTCCTTTGTTCCTCTGGTCTTTTTGCCCAAAAGACCAGTTCCAAAGACCAAACCAAAGACCAGTAATCAGATCAGAGGTTTTTGGTTTCCAAAGACCACTGGATCGAAGATCTGTCCAAAGACCGCATGTTTTCCATTTGCTCTTTTTCGGTTGAAATACAGATACAAAAAATTAAGTACAAAGTGCGCTATATTTGTTATGGTCTTTTTGCACCAAATCTTCTGGGCCAAAGACATGTCCAAAACAGTACCGGTTTTTGCATGCTGGTTTTCGGGTCAAAAGACCGGCACACCCCAGCAGTGATGGCGACAACTTACGATGTCGTAATCCCAACGCCACAAAGTCTGTGGAACAGCGAGTGGACAGGGTGGTCCTCCCGTAGCTATCACCAATTGGTACAATGTGATCCATGCGCCGATGGAAGAAGAAGTCTTTCTTGAGATGAATTTTACTGTAGTACTCTAGGACCCCGGTTCATGTTGCGGAGAAAGGATCGAGGAACAGAGCAAGGCACCGATGTGAGTGCCACTGACAATTGGAGGCAAAGAAGCGTCTTTGTTTGGCTTCACTTTGTTGAACGGCCGGCTCACCGGGATAAGTCGGAAACCGTGCACGGATCAAAAGCAAGCAGCTGTAATTTTCACATTCCACTTGTCAATTGCTTCGACGATCGTTCACTCACAGCGCTATAGATATCCTAGTCTGAAAAATAGCCTGGATATGTACGTAAAAAACTATCCCTTTTGCCCACCTGACCCAAATTCTCGTAGGACATCCCTCTCAGCGTCACAGGGACGACTTTGCAACGAAAAATTAAAACCTGAATTCCTATTCTGAAATTCACGAAGGATGACTCACCAGCAGAAGCAGATCACGCCTTTGCATTCGACGTTCTAATTTTACCTCTTCTTGCGCCACCCCGTGATGCTGTTCAGAAACCACAATGAAACTCATGTTTGTTAGCCCCAGGTACTCTGGAGTAAAGGATAGTCCTACATGTGTTCTTCACATGCAAGTGCAGTAAGACACTAGCATCTCTTTAAACCGGAGGCCATCTCTGTTTGTCTGTACGATAACTTCCCTTTCCTCACATTCATCAACCGTTCACTTCTCACAGTGTCCTTTCGTCAAAAAAACTCACCCGTTCGACTGGTTATCAATAAAGGTCCTTCTCACTTCCTCAAGCTCGATCTTTGGAAAGGAATACTCTCCACAGATCTCTCGTGCGAATCTTTGGGGTACTTTATTCACCGTTCAGTATTCTAACACAGACTTCAGAAAATTCTGGTTCCAAAAACGTTTCTCTCGGCCTATTTCCCTCTGTCAAAATATAATGGTGTGTCCCAATCATGATTTTAAATTCTACGGGGCGTTCTAATACTTGTCAAGGTCCTTCGAATCGCGAAAATGTATCGAACCTTGACAGTTATTCTCATTCTGTTATCCCTCTCTCATGGGTATGCCGCAGAAGCAACTGTCGGTGATGGAGAAAACATCACTGTGTGCATCGACGACCGGCATACTTTGTCAAGTATAGTATGGAGCTGCCTCGCCACGGTCTTTGCATGCACTTGGCTTGCCGTACATCCCAATGTTCCCAGACGTAACATCACGAATAGAGCAATATTTTTCGCCATTGAACGTATGAAAATTGTGGCCATTGCCCTTTTGGCACCAGAGGTTATTGTAGCATGGGCTGCAGAACAGTTCATAGTGGCGTGGAAGGTGTGCCATGGTGAGTGTTTCCCCTTACGAGGAGTTCAGCCATCGGACTTACATTGGAGGTTCTCAGGACAATCTATCTTATCAGCACTCCCCGGATGGAGAAGGAACGAGGAAGATGCCTCCCCGGATTGGAAGAGAGGGAATCTAACAATGGCTCACGGTTTTTTTCTCAGTATGGGTGGGTTCTACTACACCCGCCAGAGGAAACTTGTGGATCTCAAAACGCTCAACTCTCAACTAAATCTATTGGGAGACATAGCAGTGATCAGTTCCGAGAGAATACAAGACAAGAACAAAGGCGACGCGTTGTCGAAAATGGTTTCCATCCTCCAAATATCCTGGTTCATCACGCAATGCGTCGCTCGAGCAGCTCAGGATCTTCCTATTACGCTCATTGAGATGACGGCACTCGCGTTCTCCGGCCTCAGCATCATCACATACTGCTTGTGGTGGTATAAGCCGCTCAACGTCATGTATCACATACCTTTGGACGGGCTGGACGAGAGTGAATGTAGGCAACAGCCGGACATGAAGGATCAGGGGGAACATGCATCTCCAATGGCCAAGATCAGGCGTCTTTCGGTGAAAATGGTCACCGATGGCTTGGAATGGTTTTTGGCGGGGATAGCAGCAGTCGTTTCGGGGGAGCCTACAGACGAGGGAGGACATACGAACGTTGAAAACGGCACCTTTTGATTTTCATCGGGTACAGACAACGCGTCACAACGCTTTTTGATCACAGTTAGCGTCGGGTCATTATTCGGGGCATTGCATTGCATCGCTTGGTCATTCTACTTTCCATCGCATGCTGAAATGATGCTTTGGCGGTTCTCATGTTTAGCGGCTTTGGTTGGACTCCCCACAGCAAGCAATATCGCTGTGTATGCTCTGATGCGTAAATGGGAACATCCTCAGTGGCAATGGAGGGTGCTACGACTTCTTCTACGCTCACAATCAGACGCAAGTGTGGGGGAGGACTTTTGGGCATACATTCTGTCCTTAATCTCAGCTGTTGGCGCAGTCACATATATTGTGGCACGGATCTTCCTGATTGTACTTGCTTTCATGCAGCTACGTTCCTTGCCACAGTTAGCTTTTCATACCGTAAGATGGACTACGTACATACCGCATATCTAGTTTCGCTTGCCCGTAGGCTTCCTGTATGACAGATCCCGGTGTCTTCTCTTAGTCGGTCGGAAACGGAGGGCATTCAATCCCAAATGATTAATGTCGGATGAAGGGCGTGGTGTGCGATGTGAAGTGTATGCACACCGCATGGCATGGAAGAGCAATAGGCCCCTAGCCGGCCCTGGAGAGGGGGACATCAACGAAGGACAAGGGGATGCCCATTGACTGTTGTACGAGCGCTCTCCATCCTTATAGACGGTCGCATCCTTCTTATCGATACAATACGAGCAGATATTGTCGCGCCTCGGTTTGAGTCAGTGTCTTTTACGAAGCAATAGCCGTCAGACATGGTCATTTCGAAATACGCCCAACATCCATGCAAGAAATGTTTCGAAAGGTTGAAGAACGGCAAGCCCATAGAGTCCCGCCACCAAAACCGCTGCATAATGCCTCAGGAATGAAGCAAATCAATCTAAGGAAGAATTAGCATATTTGATGAGCTTAGTAGGGCAAAAGGACGCAGTGACATTTTATGACCATCGCCGGTCATCAATTCAAGATCTTATACATGGCCCCAGGCACAGGAAGTGCTTCTGCCCGACAGACCCAATAGACGAGGAATATCATCCTTGGAACCGACTATAGGCGCATAAAATCTAGACCGGAGCCGTCAACGACCAGGGTTACGCAAGTCCTTGCCTTGATAAGGCCCTCTTGATTAGCAAATCTACTCATTCCTGGTAATGCCTCGGAAATGACGTCAAAATTGGGCACCGTCTACGATTGCCCATCTGCTAGCAAGACGAGATCTAATGACAACGGTGTATTTAGATTCGAGACTGATGCCGATGACATAAAGAGAGAATATGCGAAATGCTGATGGCCTTGTTTAGAAGAATAAACGATGGACGCGTCGTCGTTTTTATGGAGGGTGATGGGACGGGATCAATTTGAGCCATGAAATAACTCTGCGGTTCAAGGAGACGGGAGATATGCCTGCCAAGACAACAGTCTGGACAATATTTCAAGTTGTCGTAGTGACGCACGATGGAAAAAGACGTCTTCCCCAAGCGACCGGTCGCAGAAGGATTGGCATCTTCCTTTGCTGCATATTGGTATTCTCTAATTGCTTCTTGGGCCGATGCGCTCGTCATTGTACTGTATATATTTGGTTAATAGACGACTACTATCAAGGAGCAGAAAGTACCATTGTTACTCGGAAATGATCGTATCGCGCGCGTCCATCCCTCAATCGCGAGACGATCGGGAGGGACATACACCTGTGGCACTTTCTCATGGTGGTGCCTACGGGTGGGGTAATAAGCCTTAGGTCTTGTCAAGAAAGACGAGCTTACCGTATGAGCAGTCCTTTTTCTAAAAGTCAGTGCCTTCTCAAAGTTTGCATCACGCATGCAATCGCGAAGCCATTTGACGCTTGCGCTTCTTCTCACTCCCGTCGGTATCTGCAAGTAACGATAATTAGCCTTCGCTTGGGCAAGATGGAGAAAGCAGTAGTAGTGCTGCTAACCTCCATATTTTTTTGCTTCTATATCGTGATGAACAGAGTCGTGCGTTCTCCGGTTTCCTGCTCACGACGAGGGTGCGACAAGAACTCTAACATAGTGCTACTGGTCCGCATCCTAGTTCCCTTATGAGCACCATATTCCAGATGAGCACTCTGAAAAAAGTACAACGTAGGCTTCACCGTTTATCGTGGTTATCTGATCAGTGACGAGTGTGGCATTGCAACTTTTCCACCTTCCGTGGAGAAACAGATCAACACCGGAAAGTGGCTGTTCCTCTGTTCGCTCGCCACAATTCCATCACAGTTGTCCTCCAAAAGCGTAGAAGTTTAGTGGGCAAGATCGAAAGTGAGTGTGATACTTCAAGTCGAAGGGCGCCCAGAAGATTTAGTTCGATGTAAGCGTAATTCTATAGAAATACAATCGGAGAGTGACCAACTGTAGAAGGAAGACCTACATTAGTGAGTTCGTGCACGTGTACATCATCCTTGAGCGTCGAAAAATAGAGAAATATACTGGTGCACCAGGGTCCAGGGAGCGAGCTGAGAACATCGGATTTCCTCGATTCATGCGGCCAGTAGTGTGACAGAAAGACTTGTAGTGATATTCGCAACCAAATATTCAGATATTTTCACCTCTATGCGGAATAGTATTTGTCTGTATGCGCCCGTGGTGACAGTGAAAAGCAGAGGGCTAATAGTAACCGTTACGGTCACACTAACGTACCACGTGCGTGACTTCAGTCCTCACTCCGAAACCCCGGTCCGTTCGCCCTCCATACCTGGGGTTACCTTCCTTGTCTACCTTCACTGCGCTCTCACTTCACCGGTCGATCTCATATACACAATGTGCATCCTTTCTTCCCGTGTTGTTCCCATAGGCTACCTTTGGTCGAACGTCTGCCATGGATCACGTTACCATTACAACAGTATTTCCATTGGTACGAAGCTAGGTTCAAGATGATGAAGAAACGAAAATCATCAAGTTTGGTTCTTGAAGACCCTTTCTATTTTATCACTGGCAACAAGATTATGTTCGTCGTGGTCTTTTTCTATATCATAAAGACATGTCTTTATATTTATCAGGAGGAGCACATGATCGAAATGAATATGTGCTAGTGCTTCCTGCAGACATGGCGAAGCTAATTTGAAGGCACGAGGAAGGACAGTGACTCCATGAGCACACGCTCTCTTCCATCCGCAAGATATTGATATGCCTGCCTGGCATCTACCCTTGGAAAACATGTATAAATCTTAATTTTATTATCCTACAAACTACGTTTGTAGCTGTGCGAGTAAGAAAGAACCTGCAAGGTACACAGCAAGAAGTGTTAAACCCCACTGCGTCAGTAAGGACTCAGCCGTGACAAGCCTAAGGGCTCGGGCAACAGACCGGTGATCCGATGACTCAGCCCGAGTGACCGAAGGTCCAGGCAGGTCGAAAGCACATGGCTCCAGCCGAACCGGCATCCCAGGCACTGATGGCCGCCTGATGGCATCGGTCCGAAAGTAAGAATAACAAAACAAAGAACGATCGTGTATGGCTTTACTTACCTGGCAGCTTTCCTAGTCTCTCAGGTGGACAGTTGGCTCACCGGGTAGATGAGAAACAAGAACCGTAACACCAGGGGCTCTGACCCGGTACAGGTAAAACTTAGTATCATGAGCCAGGACACCAGATTGCAGCACAAGATCATGATTGGGTTCACCTGGGAGCCGGGATATGAGCTCATATCTGTCAGGAAGTAAGCTCATATCCACCCGGCTCAGTCAGCGGGTGCAGTAATAGTACCTGGAAAGATTGGAAATATAGATAGGGTAGAATAGTATAAATACTGTCCATGTAACTAGCGGGAGGTGAGGTTTCTGACCCCCGGAACGCTACCAAGCAAATTAGTACGGGTTTTGGTTAAGAGCTTCGAGTCCTAGACTCACCTGGAATTGTATTTAGTGACCTGGTCACGTTTTGTGTGCAAGAACCATTCAGAAAGCAGTCAGTTCAGAAAGATACAGACAGACAGTCAGAAGTACAGTCCAGAATCCGTGTTAGCACCAGTAAAACTGCAACCAGGCAGACAGTATCAGTTCAGACACTGCACCAGGCAGTTAGTACGCATTCAGGAAACTGCACCAGGCAGCCCGTTGGTATCAGATTGTGTTCGGTAACACAGAAAGTCCAGATTTGTGTCATTTCAGAATATTGCAATCAAACAAATTATATTCATTATCAACCCGGAACTAGTATCCACAGTACAAGCATCGACCCGGTGTAACTTACCCCTTCGAACCGCAATTATTGAGTGTGTTAGGGTGTGTGTGTGTGTAGCACTTCGCCTTCCTTAGCATAGTTAGTACCTTTCAGTATCATTTCACGAGGGGGACAAGGTGATTTCTTCTCACCCTCATAATCCCGTCACTGAGCGCTTCGGTCCTAGTAATTGTGTCTCTGGTTGTCATAGCCTATATCCCCCCACGAGTACTCCCGCTTTCCTTCTCGACTCGCACAGAATTCTCAAATTTAGGTGCAGGGAAAACTCTACAAACAGCTCCCAAGGAAGAATTGAAACGGCCTCCGCTGCTGCTTTCGGCCCCACTTCCACCTCAACCAGGCCTTTAAGACTCGGACAAATGTTACTCTGGAGTGACAGTACACAATGGCTTTTTCCGCGGTCTCTACTCCCATCGTTCCGTTACTGCTGTTGCTGCCGCGATCGAAATTACAATCCACTTCGTGTAACTTTTGAAGCTCTCTATCGTAAGAATTCTCTACTCACGAAAACTCGGTGCATTTTGTTTCTTTTATAGAACGGTAGAACGGTGTCGTCGTCTAGCTGATGTAGCTACGTCCACCAGCTATGTTCAGGTTGTTGGAGACCAACGGAACGTCAACTTTCGTTTGAAAAATGCTCTCGTTTCGATTGAATTTCAGGGTCTTCAAAAAGTGAATATTGAAAAATTTCTCCTCGGATGAACACGGCTGGAATCCGCCGGACAGCGGCTGGCTGTGCTGAAACCGAATCATTTCAGGTCTATCATCATTCGTTTAGCATCACACACGAACCATATGCTCCATCGTAAGGGTCTAGATGTCATGTTCATTCGTATAAATACTCACATTCGACTAGTCCTTTATAGAGAGAACTTCGTGCCTGTTTCGGCCAGGACATCTGTTCCCCTCCCGCGTTCTCAAGATCTGACAACCATTCCTTAATAGTGAGGAAGAATGCCTCTGTTATTTCCTTATACACTAACAGTTTATGATATTCACAAAGCTATGCTGCAATCCTATTCCCGGAATTAAAACCTTGCGCCATCATCATTTCGGTGTTCTCACCCATTGAGCTTCATGGTCGTCCGTGGCAACCACGATGTGACCGGTACGATCCGTCTTTGAGATGTACTTGGTATTATCTCCTTGCAGCTTTCCAGGTAGGCGGACTGCATCGCACCTTGAGCGGTTCCTTTAGCAGACCAATATCCGTCCTCGGATAGGTCGTCCATCCTCATTGTACGCGAGCCAAAATGCCGGAAAGGATCTGCTGTTACTAGGTGCCTGGGGCGTATGATAGTCAAGCTCGCTAGTCTGATATTAAATACAATGGTAAAAAGTTATCTCCATCAGTTATCGCCGAAACGTAAAACGATCCATCCTGGCAACGGAAGTATCCGGTGAGCTTTGGAATCAGAACGAGCAGATAACACTTTATATTACCACAAAAAAGCTTCACCTGAGGATTCGAATCATGGCACAGAATGCTTTATACCCATTGACACATAGTAAGTGTACTACTCCAGATACGAAACAAGAAGTATCAAGTGAATATTGATGTAAAAGGAACAGAATAAATGACGCATGAGGTGTGGCAACCTAGTCCTTGTTGATTTCACGAACCTCACAACACTGCAAGATTGTATAGCCATCCTTCTCGAAATTGGGAAGTACAAGCGAACGATGATGACCTAAGAAACGACGTGTGCACGTTGCTGGAACTAGATGGGAAGTAGCATCACATCCGCACCCGGAGGTGATTGGGCATGGATGTCGAATATCAGGTTCGCATCTAGACGCCCTAAAATCCACACAAAGGGAAATAGGTTCACTCTGGGTAGCGGGATCCGTTTCGGACAAATACCGTGTAGTATTCAATACCTATTATCCCACAGGTTGTCAAGATCTGCATAGAAAATGAGAAGAAAACTTACGATCTCACGGAACCTGCTAGTGCGTCCTAGGATGTGTACCTATCAAGCCAGTTAGTTCGGAATCAACCTTCGGTAGACAACATATATTGCCAACAAGGGAATCTCCTTTCGGATTCGCATTATTCCTTCGTTTTCCGGTGACATTGATGTTCCTCCACTGAGATACTCATTAGGGCTGAAGAAAACAAATGGTCCTGAGGAAGGGATTTACAACGACGCTGAGCATTCGGTAGAAAAAAAGGCGGAGCACGGGACGATGTAACGTCAACTTCTTATACTAGGCGCTGCGACCCTTGGGCTGAATGGCGAGTGCGCTCACTCACTGTTATGATATATCTCGCCGGTATTTCCCTGCTTGTGTGGGTGTGGATGGTCACAGATGAGAAATAATAAGCTGCATCCTTTAACAATGGGAAATTTCACAGCGGAGAAAAGCCAAACGTTCAGCTATAGCATGTCCTAAGGCACGTCAGCGGGGTTTGTTCTTGATTTAGGGAAGGCTCACCTTTCAGGGTAAAGCACAGCATGTTCGTGATTCATTGATTTTAGTACAGGGTCATCAATGGAAGCGGCGCTCAAGAAGCGCTCGGTAGAAAAAACGAGGGTGGCCTTGCTTATTTAAAAAATGGAAATGATTGGACAGCAATTATATAGGGATCTGAAATTGACATAGCCGAGTACAAGGACAGTAATGAACGTGAGCAATCGAAGGCACGTCGGTTAGAGGAAATAGAGACAACTCGCCTTACGCTACTAATTTTAGGATGGAGAAGCTTTAAAGGGACTTCTATGGATGAATCAAGGCACTTGAACGGAATACAGATGACGTGAATTCCAACCGTTATTATTGGTAGCATTTTGGATTCGAAGATGAATGCAATTACGTAACACGAGGAGGATTGCAAGGAAAACATTATCGAGACGAACTCGTCGTATCTGCGTTGTGAGCCGGTGCTCGCTATTCGTTGATGTCACCAGAATATATGAAGGGCGAGAATTTCCTGGTACGAACACAAGATGGAGCTCCTTCTGGAATAGCTCACTGACATAATTTCAAGATGATAGAAACTGGATTCACGAACTCCATATTCACGGAAGCGAAACTATTACAGCAGATCTTTGAGGTGGATGTCAGAAATATGGAAAGGTTGTGAATAATCGCCGGTGAGAGTGACCTGCGAGATCATTATAGACGTGAGTAGTCTCAGTGATATCCAAAGTTCACACGCGAGTCGTCTCCAGCGATATAATAGCTCCATCACAACCGAAGGCTCTGCGTCCATTGAAGTGGTCGATTCCATGCAACGTATGGTATGAACTCTACCACAATCTTGATTGTCAGCAACATGGATATGCGATGGAATTTAGAAGCAAGAATCAGAGGATTTCGCGGCGTCACTAAACTTGATTCGGCGGGTTCAAAACGCCTCAAAACGCAAAAAGACTAACTCGGCAAAACAGACTCACGAATGGGTTCCGTTATGTTACTAGTCGCCTGAAGTGCGGGCCAGAACATTTAGATGGAAAGTTTAGCAGTAGGCAAATTACTGACTTCATTCAGGCTGTCAGACTGGAACGACGTGACACTTTTAAGGTCTAGATTTGTCTTTTAGGGATAAGCGATGAACCGTAAGTTCGAGATCCACAATCATGGCAACTACGTGCCTGATACCCATAGACCCTGCTTAATGATCCTTCCTTCCCTGGTGGACTAGGACATGATCCGTCTAAGGATCAACGCTGTTTTCCTGGATGTGCGACATATCAGCGGAAATCTCACCACTCGACCTTCTTTTTATACACCGCAGAGCGACTGGCTGTTAGTCACTAGGTAGACAAACTCACGAGGAGCTTCCTCTGCTTGTGCCCTGTATTTATACTATTACTACTAAATCTAGTACGCTAAGCATGCCGAGACATGCCGTATCACCCGAATTCCACAATAGTATTGACACAACGCAGGTGGATCCCCGCAATGGATAACCTTAAAATCTTAATCATTCAATGAACCGCGCAGAAAGAATGTGTCAGCATCTGACCATACAAAAGACATATGTTGTCTCGACGGGCCTACCATATTCGACCCTACCAAGTTCGTAAGCGTTCATCGACGCTTGTCTTTAATACCTAACCCTATGACTTCAATAATGAGTACGTCACGTTCATCTCGTTTCATCTAATGTCCACATATATGTCACCTGAAGTAGAGTCTGGGTAGGGTACACATTCATTCGATCTTAGTAAGAAAGTCGAGCCTCCACACTGTCGTGCAGTCGGCACATAGTATAGAGGCATCATATTTCCAGGATGACCCTCTGTCATGCCTTTGTAATGGGACGTGTATCGGGGATGAGACGTTCCGTGTTCACGACAGCTAAGCTCGCTATAGGGCGTCCACAAAGTAAGTAATAGGGTCTAGTTTCTTGACTCTTGCGTAAGGAACAGGATTCCAGCGGCATAGTGGCAGTCATTAATACGGCCATCAGTGAGCCTGATTGTACCCCCATCGATAAGAATGTTTGCATACCAGAGCCATATTTCCGGAACTTTCCCTCAGCTACAAGAATAGCATAGGTTCGCCAATGAATTTGTCCCTTAAATCCGTACAATGTCACAATTATAGTACGACGGCATCACAAGCGGCCATTTACCAGAATCCGAGAGAATCTGAGCCGTTTTCCTGGGACTCAGCCAGTGATATTACTCTTGACTTCGCCAGAGGATAACGGATGCTCTCGTATAGGAATACTGACAGATGTACCAGCGCGACATGGAAGAGAAGTTGTAATCCTGTTTATAAGGATATGGGCACGCTGGAATACGGGTAAAGTGCGTATTGGAATGTACCTGAATATGCCCAAACGTAGCCAATGTCCTACCTCGTATTTCCACGAACAGACTAGACTTTCCGCTCTAAGTGTATTTTAAGTGTGGTGTAAGTTTACCTGCATGTGTCAGTAGAACTTGAATACAGAATAGGTCCTTTCCTTCTACATACTCTGCTGGACGAAGAAATGACTCCTTATGAGGAACTATGAGAATGAATGATTGTATCAACAGAACAATTCCAAATTCTTCTCCTAGAGCGTACTCACAAACATACCAACCCACGTCCCTGGCCGAGACATCTGATCTGCGTGTCAATGCTGTCACGCCCAGAAGCGACTGAAAGATGTTATTATGGTCATGGTGAAACAGCGAAGCCGCTGGATCGAAAACCGTAACTCTTAAGTCTACACTATGCTTAAGCTGTGAACCGGCCCAATAAGAAGTCCGGAGAAGAAACGTTAGGACAAGGAGTGAGAAAGAAGAATTGAGAACCCGGGGACATCGTTCTGCGTGGATGCCGCAATTGAAAAGTTGGTGCCTTTGATCCCGGTATCGGCGATCAGTTTCTCTCCTTCGAGAATAGGTATAAGAAGGATTAGGAAGGACAACAGGTAGAGAAGAGTACAGAAGCAATCAAAATGGCTCAAATAATACCCTTCAGAACCATAATTGAAAACCACAACTTACCCGACAGTCAACCATTTTATGTGCGTGCCTGTCGCTTTCCAGCGAACCTACCACGAGCGTACTGGCGTTGTACCTGTAACGTTCCTTGGATTCCGATATCCCGTAAGCGGCAACAATCATCGGGTAGAACGGGGCGAGATCAGATGAAAAAAAAGTTACATAAATTGATTTGCACTTTATTCCGCTCCAATATATCAGAAGGTTTTCTCTCTTGGCCGACAACATAGTTGAAACTTCAATAATGATACTCTCATGTAATTATCTGGGCTCTGGTATCTCGTACATTATTCTACTTCACACGTACTCCATTGTTGCTGTCATCTTTTCTGGCACATAGACGAAATGAATACATACAGGATACGCAAAGAATACGTACCTCAAAGTATGCTGCTTTATGAATATCTTGCCATCCTTTCGTGATTTTTTAATTTCATCTTTAGAAAATGGAAAATTCTGCTGATTTTCATCGCTAAGCTTAACATCTTTAAAGATGGAACAGATATGCACAGAATCCGCAGACACCGGTGATTCACGGGATCGAGAAGCAAACACATCGCCCTTGAATGCATAACTACCAAGGCGACCGGCGGAGAATGCTTAATTGTACCCATAAAAAGTAGCCAGTCGCTGTAACGCGCAATTTAATGGCTAGCGTGTACCATGGGCTCGAAGGGTGCATAATAGTATATAAACACAAAGAATCACCACTGTGCACCATGTACACTCTTTACATCCAAGTGGAATTCTCGGCTTCCGTAAGCGGTAATTCTCTACCGATATACAGGCCACGAACATTCATCGTGTTGCGGGAGGCTCCGCAATGCAACTCTCTCTTCGAACATTGGAAGAAAGGCCTGGCGTCGTGTGGGTACGGGCCGCGTGGTGAAGTCGTCAGTGGTGTAATACCTGCTATAAAAGAACCTAGATTGCTACAGAAGTTGTTAAAAGCGCACCAAAATGGCAGTGTATCAGCAACACGATCAGACATGATAACCAGGAGGAGATCAGTAATGGTCTTCTTGCGGGAGAAATGCCGCGCGCAAGCATTCCGCAGGCAATGAATGATAATCAGGAGATTGCAAAAGTGGAGATTGCGGTATAGCCGTGGGACGTGCAATGAGGAATCTTACACATATGGATGGAAGAGCATGACTTCCATCGGCACATCGTTCCGAGCCTGCAATGACTGATGATTTTCAGAGGCGATAAAATAATACATAACCAGAAGATGTTCATGGCTGCCGCTACAGAAGCTAGTTGAAAATGACTAACAACGCGAACGTTTCTCTGCCCAGTATTCACGAGTTGTTCCCAGGTAAGTTCTATATCATTTTTCATAGAGGCTTCCATACTGAGTCAATTCCGTCTATCTTGCAGAGCATATGCTACACGTCTCACCTGAAGTTCACATGCAATACAATGCACCTCCAACGCTCGTTCCGTCTCACCCATACTTACCTCCTCAACCACCACCCAAACCCATGCCTAGGAAGACCAGTCCTTATACTGGGCCCTCCCTCTCGCTTCCTCACGTACAGTCATCAGACGAAGACGATGAGGAGAGCAAAAAGCATATCTGCACAGTTTGCAACAAACGGTTCTTACGACCCAGTAGCTTGAATGTTCATATCAACACCCATACCGGCGCTACGCGTAAGTCTATCAGCCTCTCATAAATATCCAGTATTAAAAGCTGTACACCAAGCTTACCGATGCTCATTCCCGGGATGCGGAAAAGAGTTCAACGTCAAATCCAATATGTTCCGACACTATCGATGCCATACAGGCACTATCGCCGATCAAAATTCCCCTCGCAACAATTCGCCAATCATTAATCCATACCCTCGAATCGCTCCTTCGTTGACCCCCCCCAGCACGTCCTTCGCAGCAGGAGGGCAGTACCAGCCAAGAGATCAGCTGCAGGACTACCAACCTCGATACTTGCATGATGGCACCACGGTGGAAAGAGAAAGATATTATCAGTGCCAGTATTGGACAAGTAACGTTTGCTCGACGCACGGTGAGAGCGAGAGGGATCACGAAGAAAACCAAAGTCGCTTCTATGCGAGACATCATTGAAGAGCTGGAACGGGTTGCGAGGTAATTTCCATGAATTTCTCGCTTCTGAATTACGTATTGCTTTTACTGAGGGAACCGCTCGAAACATCTTTTTTTGCGACAAAATTTCTACCGAAGCAGATTCGAGTTGGAGCTCATTATGTGTAGCACATGCAACGCTAAGTTACTTACCGGTCGAGACAAATTATATAAGAAACACCGCTCCAACGCATGGCTGATGAAAGATATATTGGAGAGCTCGTTGTCAGATCATAACTCAATGCTTTGCACAGGGGCCTGCTATGCAATCTGGAATTTCGGAACACAGCAGAGTCCAGAGTGATTGACTCGCGTGCGCGACGCGTCTGGGTCGATAAAAGCCGCGGGGTTTGAGTTTTAAACTTGGATGTCTAATTTCTCCATCTGATGTCTCCGAGCATAACGGGCTAAACATAGACCATCGTGTACGTTTCTGTTCGCAGGGTCCTGGCATTCCATTCTGGGCTCGTCCTTTCCATGGTTCTGTTTGATAATATGGTGATATCAGGTAATTAGAGGAAGACAAAGAAAAATTGGTGAGGTGAATAAATTTATTCTCGTCCTCATCGTGCTTGCATTGTCAGAGGATGTCCAAAACACACAAAGTCATCCACTGCGCGCGGAATCGTACGATTCTGGTCACAGGAATTGGTAATCGATGCATCAGAGCAAGGCCTTGGCGAGGAAACAATGATTTAGTAGAAGAACGCAACGTCCAGTCTTCTTACCAGTGGACGGGCAGGTATATCTCATTCAACCTAGAAAAAAAGCATGTTCTGTCAGGAGAAAGTGGAAAATGTAGCGGCGGAATCACCTCGAAGGATTATCGTACCGTGATTGGAACAGACCAGGAAAATAAAACGTTGACTGTAAAGTAATCGCTATAACCGTTAGTACTGCTAGCGAGGGTTGAAAGGAAGTATGCACTACGGTTGTCGTCTCACGAAACAAGTACGAGGAACAGTTGAGAACCTTTGCCTGTCTATCTCCGTGTGTCGGTGTAAACCAGTCTCCAGGCTGAGCTGACAAATGAGAGAGCGGCAGAGAAGGAGAGCTCAGCATCACAAAACAGGAAAGATCATAGAGAATCCATACAGAAGGGTGCATTAGGTGATACACCGCCTTTATCGCCTTTCACCAACACCAGAATGGAGAACTGACAAGTTGCTGTGGACGCCGTCTCTGTATTAGAGATGTAGGGAGGAGAAGCGAGACTAGGAGAGAAAGAAAACACCCAGATCAAAAATTGGAAGGACAAGACAGACGGTGGGGAGTGACTGCGATCGGGTCTTCGGTACCTGGACCCGTAAGAAGGAAAGGGTTTCAAAACCGCGGAGGTAATCGACCAGGATGGCGAATGCTGATGTCAGAACATCAGAGAAAGTTCTCAGGGCGGCTAATCGCCAACGGTAGACTATCAAGTTTGAAATAGATTCCGGCTCTAAACTTCGTTCGACGAACGACTATGATACTTAATGCGAAGGTTAAGGAATACGACAACGATCGCAATGATTTAGTTGCGGAATCCATAAGAATAATCCGAAAGCCAGGACCAAAAATACGCCGATTGAAGTCGAGACCTTTCTCGAATTGGGACCGGTTCCTTTTGCAGGATTTTACTACTACCGGCGTGTACACATTTCTAAGTGATTAAAAACCACCGAAAGAGATTCTGTTAATACTCAGGATACTATTAGAATACCACCTCATGATACTAACCACACGGGATCGAACCTTGATCATCCCAAAGACGTCTATTTCTTTCTTAACTATAGCGCAGATTTCACATCTACAGGAGCCGTGCTGTTGAATGTTTGCGGATAACACCTACTTGAGGATGGGAAATCACTACCGGGGAATTGATTGTTACGTTTCAGCGAAGAAAGCAAACCCAGAAAGCAAAATCTGTGGCCGCGTGAACCACAGGCTCCCCTTGAAGGATGGTGCGAGATTGGACCGAGATCTAACGAATCTTTAGCATCAGGATGAAGAAGGCATAAATCGGAAGGACTTGTTGGTCTGATATTCGAATCGTGCTACCAGGGCGACCAGGATGCTGAAGACGCATTGACCCTGCGGGATATTGGACGAAAGCGAGATTCGGGAAACAGGATGACTGGAAACTTTTACACCTGCTGAGAGCGCGTGAATTAGCAGAAGAACACAAGGAAAAGACATTAATTCACCTCGAACAGACGGAAAGTAGCATAACTAAGGGTGAAAAGAGGACCAGGCACAGTGCTCTGCATCTCGACACGCCGGAAAAGAAAAAGCCAATCTGTAAAGGACGAGAACTGGATGGCATAGGCAGGCAAGAGGATGCGTGACCGACAGGTTAATCAGAAGGAAAACAAAAAAGATGTGGCTGTGGCTAACATACTTGGCTTAGTGGATTGGCGGGATTGCATGAGCTTGGTGTGTTGACGGAGGACCACGCCACAATGAAGAGGGTTAACGAAACTGCGGCGCTGCTTGAGAATAGACATCCAACGAGCTTCAGAGACAAGTTAGTGAGCTAGATAGGCAACAATTCGTGGGCACGAGTAGATCTTACTTCGTCTTACCAACGCCGTTTACTATTCCAAGATCTTCATCTACAGTGCGCATCATTCGCCCGAACCTTAGGGATAGTCGAGACAGTGCTTTTCTGACCTATTGAACCTGGAATCACCGAGCGACGGAGAAATGAAATCGGTAACATATTCTAGCAACAAAGCCATCAGTTATACGATAAGGTGAAAATATAAGAGACATTAATTCACTGTGAGTAAACCGCACAAGGAGAACTCTCGTCAGCCCTCTAAGAACAACTCCTAATGACTAGAATCCCATCAACGCTCTGCAGTTGGCTTATTCTCGACTGTTCCATGTTCCATGAGGCATTCGACGTCAAGCATGCAGAGCAAAAGCGTGTATTGTGGACATAGACCGGCGAGCACGACCGCGCATGACAAAGCAGGGGAAAGAGCATCAAATTTGAAATTACAGATGTCGACAATTAACACTTCGGGACCGGCCCTAACGAGACCGGCTGCTCACCCCCCGCGGCCACGGCACGGTCCGCCTTGATAAAACAGTCAGCAGTACCAGAAAATTGCCAGTCGTGGGAGTCTAACTTTCTAGCTGGTGCAGCTACTCCATCAGTGGTGGTGGTGGTGTTACCGGCGCCAGGTCCCAATAAGGAACGGCCGGGTCCACAGCCCTGACATGGCAAACCATGTGCTGTGGCTGCAAAGGCTCATACCGTGTCATGGGGTGTGTAACCTGTCTTCGAATGTAAGTTGGAGCAAAGAACAATGATACAACACCATTATAATTTCATCACGATTGAATTCGAGCGGCCTGTTTGTAGAGATCGATTGAACGAGAATGATAATATTGACACAATCCTTTGGTTGACACAAGGAACGATGAACCTGCGACGGTTGGAGGCCTTACCTCGCGGGAATAAACCTAGGACACCCACATTTTGTACAGGCAGTTGCTGTAGTCGCACCGCCTGCTATATATTGTTGGTTGCTCTGCTTTTTGCCGTAGTTCTGAGGGGTCGGAGGTTCGAATCCACACTCGAGTACGCAAATATATATAACCAAACCTGCAGTACTTGTTTTGAAAAAATCGCATAGACGCTACCATCTCGTGTTTGATCAAGTCTCCACTATCTTCCCTCCTATATACCTAAAATGTCAGGCTAGATGTAGTGCACCGTACAGATTCGAACTGCGAAATCGTCGTGTTATCATAAAACTGGATGTTATTCCATGTGTCTACAGCAGCTGCGTGGTTAGATGGAATTTCCTTCTCGACTAGCATATAATCTCAAAGTACGAACATGAATGTGTATCTCATTACAGAATGATACACACGTCATATATCAACCTACGACAATCTATATTTCATTACAGCGAGTTAAAACTGGACGAGAGCCAAACCAGAAGACGCATCAGAATACTACAGTACGGAATCGAATAGCATTGATCTTCCGCAAGAAAGGGAGCATTAATCTACGGTAGCTTACCAGCCGAGGAATGAGGGCAGGCATTCAGTCACTGCGAATGCTTTACTGTAGCGATGCCCACGACCGGCGCCGTAGCTCTCAGTTGAGGCTCTCCGCTTTCCCGTCTCGTAGCGGACGATGTAAGTAATTATCAGAGGGGAACAAGAAAGGATAGCTGATCTACGAGAAAAGGTCTCGGAGAAGCATACAATGTTGCTTAGTTTGCCGTACTCCAGATCTGGAAGAGACTGAGCATCGGGCGCCTACTTCAGAAAGGGAAAGGGTGCATGATCCACTTACCTGGCGCTAGATCGATGACGTGCCAGAAAGATCCTGATTCGCAAAACCAGGAGGATTAGGAATCAAGGTTCGATATTACGATAGTAGAGTCAAGAAAGAAGGCATGTTGCTGATGCTCAGAATCTATTAGATACCCTAATCGAAGATCAGTAACAGGAAACACAGACAGATACACAATTACCCGGCAGCACCGCATCTACCCAAAGCTCTCTGCTCTGAAAACTCGTCTATCCGAATCAGGACTCCAGTTCCGTGCGGAAAAACCCAACACACAGAGGGCGTTAAAAGCCGGACTTGTGGTCACATCACTGTCCCTGCACATAACTAACGAAGACCGCAAGAATTCTTGTTACCATTGTTCGGACTCGAACCGGGCCCTTTAGCAGGCCTTACCGCTGATCTACGATGGCGTACACACCGCTATACTGGGATGAGAGTACTCATGAAATAGAGACCTAGGGAATACCTGCGTTTCGCAGACATAAGCGAAAATAACTGATAAAAACATACGCTCCGTATACGCGTGCACAGGAACCCCTAAAAATCATTGATTTCACTTTTGAAATTGTCACCAAGCGGATTAGAACCACCCAAGTACACCCTCTTTATAACCTCATCCAAGCTGTCGACACACCAAGTGAAACTAATTTCAACGGGTTTCAGAAGGATTATTATATGCCAACCGGACGGGACTCGAACCGTCCCACATGTAGAATTCTACCACTGATTTCCGTCTCGCTTCGCTTGAAAATTAATTGAATCTAGAGACAACTCGTCCTTGTGAGAGAGTATTTCCGATAACTCCCTTCGTATGAGGGATGTAAAGTTTAAGCACTGCTCGCATAAAGGATAGGAGGTTATGTAGTCGACTCCAAAAAGAAGATCCCAAGGGCTACTACACGGAGTCGAAACGTGATCTAGACAGGCCATTGATCGATAGCAGCTGTTCAATTAATCGAATGCTCGCGTACCTGGAACCCGTGGTTGGGAGCATACCTTCCCCATGGAGGATAGAACCAGCGCACGGGGGGTTGGCGATGGACCAGTATGACACAAACCGAATCGGTCGGTATCCAAAGATATGAAAAACACTCAAGTGACAAACCTCGCCAAAATTATGCTATATATATGTCAATGCAGTACCACCTCTCGGACTCGAACCGATCCCTTAGATCTAGCCGTCCCGCTGATCTACGAAGGTATATTGATTAGCCGATCAGGATCTCTCAATCAAGAAACATCCTCTACAAATAAAACAGAGAAAAAAACATTTTTAGCAGCCGGTATGAGCTGACCCATGGAATCGAACCATGCGCAACCTCAAAATATGCCCTTCACCTACTTTGGTATGAGAGATCACACTGCAGAGTGGAGGATGTTGAAGGACGCATACATTATCAATGCTAATAAGGAGTTTGTTTCCCCCGTTTTATCTGCAAGATGTTGTAACAGAAAAGGTACGGCTGCGAATATGACCCGTGGCATGCACGAAAAAATGTCGCGGCTGCTTTTTCTGTGAATAAGGCCAGTGGACTCGAACTACTGCATTCCCGGTCCGTTTTCCGGTCGTCTATAATGCCTCGTAGTCTGAGCTGTTCACGGTGTATTTCTGACCTTGCATGGGAAGGTAAACACTTAAAAACAGGTGCACGGTCGCCATGACCGATCTCTAATTAGAGCAGACCTACGGAAAAGAACCATCACTTAAATTATGTCAGCATAAGAGAATAAGAGCCGAATGGAGTCTTCATACTTGCACCCTTCAAAACAGTGACTTGGTGACGTAGAACTCAAAATTCTCATCACCAGCCAATGGGTGTTCTATACAGGTCCGTGCTAGACCTCGGGACAAGATTAGCAGTTGGCTGGCATAGTAATGTCTGATTAAAATTCACCAAGGGGGAGACTAGAGTGGATACCATTAGGTGTAGTCGAATCGTCACGTAGATTGGAGGTTCTACGGCTGACCAGGATGGTATTGGTGAGGATCGGTCGTGATTTTCGTTAAAACCAGAATTGAGAACATGAGGGGGAGACGACTTGAATTGGAGAGGAATTATCAGCTGTGGAACTTTTTTGGGATCATTTCTGCAGAAAAGACGAAGCACCTAGCTCTTTTAGAGGGACATGAAGGACCCTTGGAGCTCATGGACGGAGATCTACAACGCGCGCGTCAATAATGACGGAAACAGTACCTCACAGACACGTCGATGTCGCTGTATTCACCACTCAGAAGGGTAAGATCAATGTCGCTATTCCAGACCTGCACTTTCGTGTTGGTCTCCATACCAACTCTGTCTAGAAGGTCGAGGATTTCGACCCCGTGGTACCTGTGGTTGCTACCCGACACGCGTTCTGTTAATAAGTGTGAAGATAATCAAAAATGTCGTGCAACTTACGTGTTAGTCGCGTCTGTTTCCACATAGATGCCATCAAAAAAAGCGTCCGTCGACCAAACGCGGAGGGGATAGGTGCTGGAAACGCGTCAGTTCTACAGTAAAAGATTGGACTCCACGACCGTACCTCTTTGACGCGTCGGGTATCCCGAAAGAGAGATCGGTAGACTCAAGATCAAGTAGGTTACCGCAATCGCGTGGCGGTGCTGCTTCTGAGCTGGAAGAAGAAGTGAGGGGTGTCGTCGGTGAGAGGACATGTCAGTCGTATGTGAATGTTTCGGACACCGGTAGACGTACGAATAATGCACTTGTTCCTGGATTGTTGGCCAAGAAAGATAGTTCCCAACAGATTCCAGCTCTGTGGTATACGAAAGTTCTGTTGGACCATACGCGAGTGAGTTAAAACAATACAGGTAATCTCGGATGAAAATAGGAAGAGAAATTTCCCAACGCTGGCGTCGTTATGACTTCCGGAATGTAACAGGGTGCCCGAGTCGGACACATTCGAGCTCGATACAGTGGGATGTGTCATTTCCTGTGGAATGCAGTCACAGTTCCTCTCCGTTAAATGAAGATTTACCGGCACCAACGCTGGGAACATCAACAGATTAGAAGGTGGAGACGAAATATACGTAGGTAACTCTTTCACTTACCCTGGTGTCTAAACAGCTCCTTTAATGCAAACATGCCAAATTCTAAGAATTCACCATACCTTCTTGACATCTATTGAGCATAGTAAGATCGAGATATCAGGGGACTTGAGGAAATTCAAAAACGAACACCGTAGTCGAAACGAAAGACGTGTCTTGTCCACGTGGTTGGCCCGGTCCGATGTCGGCGCGCCTTTTCTTTCTACTCGTTTCTGCCCTTCGTTCACATGCATTTCCGTCAACCTCAGTGAGGCTCTCTCGAAGACTGCATCTCGGCGCTTGACTAGAACTGATTGCGAGGATGATCAAGGAGGAGCAGTGATTGGCATATATGCGAGATTGGCGTCGCATTGTCATGTTGTGCGTGGTCTATGCTCTTGTTTGTCTGATTAGATCATGATTGTTTCCACAGGCTCCAGCGCATGCAGAGCGTCTACTTAGGTCGGCGCTATGCGAGGGTCCCTTAATGGCCTAGGATCATTTTCCAGACATTACATGACCCAATCAAGCTCGAACCACATTTCTTTTGTGGTCGACATATGATGACGCCCTCATGTCCCTGATGTCTTGAACGGGGACGCAGTTTCAAATCTCCACGAAATTCGCGACGTGTGCTACCAACCGTTGAAGAACTGGCGTATGGGTACAGATTATATTCTATTCAAGCCACATAACACGACCTCCCGCAGCTCTGCGACATCGTATTGGAAGCATCAATGTAGCCATCAAGGCACCGAGTCTAGTATGTGGCCCTTTGATCACACCTATCACGCTTGGCTGGCGGGGGAGAAGGGAGAAGAAGCATTGGACTGACCTGTGTATTGTCTTCGAGATTCCTTGGCCATGCAGACACTACTTAGGAATGCCGCTTCAGTGAGCCATCCGATCCCGTCAATGTGGGAAATAGTGACTTACAGATGACGAAACAGCAAACCATCACTCGCCGAAAGAAACGGTCGAAAACTGGTTAACCTTATGACTACTCTGTATCTGTATCGGAAGGCATTCAGGTGCGTGTTTGCTCTTGTATTTCATTATCTCCAAATTGATCATAGTTTGACGAGATCTGGCTTAGATTGCGGAACGCCAAAGGTAATACTGGCTGAATTTTGTGTCATGGGGGCCTGCAATACAGAAGAGCTTTTCTATAGCAAAAATAACAGGAGGATTGTGTGTAATAATCATTTTCTCCCTGCACCAAGTCAAACTCATCAGTTTCCCTAGTTATTTTATCCTCGTTCAGGTTATCATAACATGGTGCCTAGTCTTCCCGACTTTGCAAGTAGGTGGTTGAATGCTGCATTATCGGCAGGATTACAGAGCTCAGAGGTTACTTCCTTCAACTTCCCGTTGATTTATTTTGTGTCTAGTGCGAGGTCTCGACGGAGACATTCTCATGGAATTGATGATATACCTCCGATGTACGTTGATGGAAACGGACAAAGACAAGGAAATTTCCTAACGCCACCTATTTTCAATTTTATTGTCTTGATTCTAATCAATGCCACCGACGTCTATGCATGTACTATGGGTGATCAGCATGTGCAACTGAGCCGGGATATGCAAATTGAGTTTCTCGATACATTCCCTTTAGTTTTGGACCTCAGAAATTTTCACAGATGTAGAAATGATGTATCTCAGGACTGCACAACTGTCAAAACTTCAAATTTTTGAGAGCGCGTTGCATGAGATATGAAACAGTACCGAAAGTGGGTTACTGTATTAGGCTGCAGTACCCTATAACTGCATATAGTACAAAGCTAAAGGCTGGGAAAGACTAGTAAATGTACTATAGTCATAATATAATTCCCGACGAAATCCTCCTCGAAATCTTCGCTTTCGGAGCCCTCAGTACCCAAGATACAAATTTCTCGTTCCTAATATCCACCGTCTGCCAACACTGGCGGTCCCTAGCCATCCATGAATCGCGCCTCTGGACTTGTCTCACCATCACCACCGACACAGACCCACCTCCCATACCTGTCGATTCTGATTCCCACCTTGCCACCATCTTCCCTAGAGAGGCCATGTCATACTCGAACGTTCTGGAGATCTAGATCTTTTCCTTGAAATCGAAACTCCGGATGGACGTAAACGAACGGAAAACTTCACGGACCATCATTTCTTCTGCCTCTCTTTCCTCCTCTCCCGGCACACTCATCGAATCCAGACGTTCCGTGTGGAGATGGAGGGCTGGAAGCCGATTGTCCTCCTCTGTAGTGATTTCCGTGGGAAGGAAATGCCGCGATTGCACACATGGCTCCTGGTCAATTTGGCGGATGTTGAACGTGATGATTACTTTGGCGACAAATACGTCGTTGACCCAATTCACATACTTGAGTATCCGGATGAAGACGCTCTGCCTGTAACGTCTGAGGAGCTACAAGAGCACAGTAGGTTGATGTACCCCGCTCTCGGACATGCTCACTGCTCCGGAGTCCCTATGAATTGAGGCCTATTCTGCGGAACGAATTTGCGGAAATTGTGTTTGGAGAACCAGCCATGGAAGGAACGTTTGTCGATTGAGACCATACGTGGGATACTATCCAACAGCAAGGATACTCTGGAGGTCCTCAGCCTCGCCTTTGTCATCGATCCCATCTATAACAACGCCCCTCGTCCAGAGTCTCGTCTGACCCTTCCTCATGTCTGTTCCCTCAAGCTCGAATACCTAATCTCCGATGAAGCCAAGAACGTTTTCCGGACGTTCGACTTTCCTGGGATTCGCAAACTGACTCTGCGGAATCGGCGAGATGACCTAGACGATAGTTATGTTCTCATCGAGCTAATGAAGTACTTTCACCTGGAACAGCTAGTCGACCTCGAGTTGACTGGAATTTGGGTTCTTCCGGAAGATTTTTCCGAACTGGAGGTACTGAAAGACGATGAGATTCCGGAGGACTATTTTGTGATACTTAAACTCTTTCGCCGGTTGACACAAGTCGGGCGGTTCACGTTGCAGAATTGTTGTAATGATTTTTTGAGGTTTCTGAATTATAGGGATCGAGGGGGGCCTTTGAATTTGTCTGGGATCAAGCATCTGGTTGTGAAGGAGCATACGGAAAAGGCGAGTGCTGGTGTGGTGGTGGTATTCATACAAGATCGATTGGAACTTGGCATGGTGAATGGGGTTTATGAGGGTTCAGTTTTGGAGAGTTTGATCCTTGATGTGCAGGCGGATGTGCAGGCAGAGATTAAGTCTCTTGGAGACCTTGCATTTGCGAAAGAGAAAAAAATTACGTATGAGTATGATGGGTAGATTAATTGCCCGGTACTCGCCTTAGTAGGTCCTATCATTAGGCAGGGATACAGTGGAACGGACGGCGGCACTGGGAAAGTCAACATCTTAGATTCAGTGCTTATATTTACCGAAAATTCACGGTTTACAGAATCCAGATATTTAAATGCCTTTTAACTGACGGCATGCTATATTTCTCGAAGTTGTCATGCATAGAATATTCGAGATCAGTGTGAGTGAAAGGCGAGAGTGAACACGAGAAGAGCCGGAAGCTCATTCAAATGATTGAACGAGGACGGGAAAGAGGGATGCTGATTCTCTGGGGTCTGTCTCTGTGAGTCATATTCTGGTATATGGAGAGATTGCGTATAGATAGCCGATTATGAGAGTATGACACCGCATTTGCGACCGAAAGGATGGAATTGATATCTCAAAATACAAGAGATTTCTGGTTGAATATAGAATATAGCCAAAAATGAGGCGCAATATTAATGCACTATGAAGATTATCTCTAAATGCGCAATAGTGAACAGGTAACCTGCTAGTACGAATGCAGCGACGATGGTTCGATTCCATTGGTTCGCAATCCCGAGAACCATAATAATATTTTTATGTACTAATCATAGTGAGCTTACTTCTTAGAGAGTGTGTATTTCTCTTTCGTATTTATGGTCACAACCAAGTTACAGGATTGGCGTACGGTCTACTTTTGAAGCGAGTTAATGTTAGATCGTTGCTGTTCAAGCCACCGGTTGGTTGTCCTGGTCTAGCGATGCTATCTGTTGAGTTTAATTGGTATATATTTTCCTTGATCTTGAGGTGGATGCCGCCGCTAGGATTCGAGATGGCGGTTTTTGTCACTTTGGCCTCTCTTTGGAGTCGAAGTTGGATGAAAGTAGCCGGTAGGATGAAGGCCGGTCCGGGAGTGTTGATTGCCGACATCTGTAATTTCAAACTTCGACAGGCTTCCTTTTCTCTCTCATGCTTTAGTCACGCTTGCTCTGCTCTGACGGTCTATATCAGCATTACATGCTCTCTCGATACCCTTCAAGTTTCAAGTTGAACACGTCAGTCAACTTGGAATGGTAAACAGGGATCAGAATGACAAGTCTCAGGAGAAGGCTGGTGAGCGGTATAATGGTGTGTCGTTGCGCACATACCAATTTTTCCTTCCCTGAAGTTGATTAGGCGCAGGTCCTCCATCTACGTTGTTGACAATACTGGTCATGTCATCTTAGTCCCTCCGCGGTTCCGACGACCGTCGGTCTTAATCGCGCGAAGATAGCTATCCAAACTGCACGCATCTTCACCCTCCCGGTAACCCAAATCAGTGATATCTCACCGCGAGCCTTTTCGTTCTGCTTTCCATCTCCACTGCTAACCCATGAAACAAAGACTGCGTCAGATTTGCACTACTATCATGACGATCTCATCCGGAATGTCTTCTTGTCGTCATTACAGCATGGCAAGCCGATCCTTAGCGGCAAACGACCGTGAATGCTTTTTCCAACCGGTTCTTTAGGCAAGGCTCAGCTTTTTGGTGAAGCTTTTATGCTGAATGCTATTGTTAGCGTGGTCAAGATGATAGTGTCTCCCTCCTGCAGTCGTATCACTTCCGAAACCTTGAGCAGATGCTTGAAAATCAATGACGATGGTGTGCAGTCTTATTTATCCTTATCGTCCGTAGATCAAACCAATAATGTCTGTTGTCAGGCTTGCAATGATTTGAATCACAGAACAACGACACTCCATCGTAAGCAATCTCCTTCCTTTCTCAAGATTTTCAACCGTAACGGTACTCTGTTTGTCCATAGAGGGCCGAGTTCTCAACTTGGGATAAATTTTTCACTTTCAAGTTCATCGTGGGATAATCGTGGCGATTTCTGACTAGTATAACTCCTACGCACCTATTTCGGCAAGGATGTCTATTCCCCTCGCGCGTTGTCGAGATCTGATCACTCCTTGACAGTGAGCGAAAACACCTCTGTTCTTCCGCTGTAAGCTAACAGTTTTTGATATTCACAGAGCTGTGCCGGAATTTCGGCGTTCTCACCGGTTAAATTTTGCTTCTTCGCCTTCACCGTCAACCCCTGATGTCACCAGTTATGTCTTCGAACAAGGCATTTGCCTGGATGATCGCGGTCGGATTCCGCGCCGCGGAGGTTCGTAAATGCCGTTTATTTTGTAGTTGGCGAAACAAGAAACAATTTCTGAAGACGTAACTAGATCCGATCAAGAGAGCCCATTTTCGCTATCAAGGCAACCAAGCGAAGACTATCGGTATTTCATAACATTGGTAAGAATACTTCTTCTTTGCTGAAGAATTATTAGCATCAATAAAGGTCTGCTCATTAATAGGATGGATGACTGCCTAGCTGAGGAGACGCCCACATTTCCAAACATATTCCTCTTCATGGAACCGTTCACGCTGGCGAGCCGATACCTATCTGGCTTAGCCTTTTGCTGATGTTGACTGGATGCTGATTCTCGAACGATATCATGATATCTTGATTGCGTCCGAATACCCATCTGGTTCACTACACCTTCGGCATTCCAGTAACATGCACCGAGTTTATCTAGTCCCGTGATCCTGTCAGGCCAGGTAGGTCACTTGTCGTCTCGCCCTTCTGTTTTCCGTCTCTTCAGCGTCATAAGTCCCCACACAGATACCTATTCTCCCGGTCTCGTCTGTTACATCTTCGCAGTGTATCTGACATGCCCCTTTCTGTGCTGAATCATGCCCTTTCCTCGTATGTCAAACTCTTTTCGTTATGTTCTTATACTAAGTAATGTACCCTCGGAAGCAGTGAAGGTGCTTATCACATATCCAGCTAATACCGCTCCAGAAAACCCGGTTAAGCTATGTTTGAGTTACATAGCCGGGTCGTTAAGGGCCGATTCTTGATTGCCGATTTCGAATTTCAGTGGCTGGCTTTGTCTTTGTCTGACTCGTCCACTCGACTTTGACGGGCGCAGTACCGTCAGGCCTCCGTTTCACGCCAGTTGTACCATCGTCCCCCTGAAATTTCTATCGATGGTCTCAGTTTCGAGGCCGTGTTAGGTGTGTGAGGCGATAGTGATGTGACTACAGTATTGTTTTTGAAAATAAATCCTCAGCGTATCTTCTTGTTCGATGCCATAGCTGTGGTTTGCGAGCCGGAGTCGTTTAGGACCGGTCGTGATGTCTCCACAACTGTATGCGTTTTCAAGATCGTGGTGTTCGCTCCCATTCACGATTGTAAAAGTTGGTACTATTTCTGAGTATGCGATTAAATCCTTCTCTTCATCGCTTCGTGATCTCACCAGGGTGCGAATACCTCTATTGTGAAGAGGGCATGTGTTGTGAAGAACTAACTCCCCGTCCAGGTATCTCAACGACAGCATGTTCTCTGTACAAAGTTCGATGTCAACACCATCATATTTGTCCAACAGCCAGCCAGTTCAGCACATCTTACTGCTCCTGGTAGCGCGCCTAGGTTATCAGACCTACATCGATCACCGTCTTGTCCTTCCGATTTGAGTACTGTAACCGGTATGTTTAGGTATCTCACCCTAGATAAGTCGTGTATTCTTTTTCCTGGGTAACGGATATCGGCTGAAGTAAGGATTTGGTCTCGCTTTTCTATCTCACCAACTAAGATTCTTTCAGACCTGCTCTCCCTTCTTGTCGTGTATTGTATCGGTATCTTATCCCTTGGCGATTGGCCGGCCCGAGATCTTTCCTGGCGCTCTGGCATCAGCGTCTGCTACCTTATTCGCTCATATCCGCGGCTTTAAAACTTATCCTAGTCTATCGGATTTCCTCTTTACTGATCAAGGCACCCAGGGCTTGGCCAAGACCCCCTTCGCTCCGATAGCGGTCACTCCCAGCCGTATTGTCGATCAGTGTGTGTTATTTTTACTTTGTTCTGTCGGTCCCGATTTTCCTCCGTACATCTCTATTACAGATACGGCATCAACAGCACCTGGTTCTCAGTTCTGCCGATGTCGTCGTTTCCTTCAAGCATGGAAAGATGATGAATGCGGTGTATCACCCAATGCACCCTTCTGTATGGATTCTCTATGACATTTCCTCAACTTGGCGGCTAGTTTACGCCGACACACAGGGACAAACAGACAAAGAATCCCAACCGTTCCTCGTACCTCTTTCGTAAAGACGGTCATGATCTTTTCTTCTCATTCCCCATCTACTATGTACTTACGATTCATGCAGCTACCCATCTGTTAATGTTTTCTTTCGCTCGTCTGTTGGAAGCACCTGCCTTAAATTTAACAGCTCACGTACGAGCTCCCTTAAGATTGACGCGATACTCCTTCGAGGCGAGGTAGGGTTTTCTTCCTTTATTCTTTCTACTTTCCTGATAGAACATGATTTCTTTTTAGGTTGAGTGTATCGCACCTGCCCGTCTTTGCCGTCCTCTGGAAAGTAAACTTGACAGGGTGTTTTTCTACTAACTAATTGTTGTATTGCCAAGGTCTCGCTTCACATGTCATTTAAAAATTCCTCTGCTAAGACTAGAACTGTACAGTTTCGAGACGAAGTTATGGTACCTCACGATATGTTCCATTTTCCTGACAGAACGTGTTTGGTTCCTGGCCAAGCGCATCGAACCCAAATGAGCTCCCGTAGCGAACGAGTATTCCCAATTATTACCCTTCCCATGTGAACTGACTATTTTCGTACGTAGAATTGATTCACTGATCATCCAACTCTAGGTAGGTAGAAAATCAGGCATATTATACGACAAAGGAATCTACAGTTCCACGCGCAGTGGACGATTTCATGTTTTTTTGATCAATGGAGGAGAGGCTATATTCTCCGACAATGCAATCACAGTGACGGTACGAGTGATATTATTCACTTGTCTTTCTCTAATTCCCGGATGTCAGAGTATCGTCAACAGCAAAAAGGGTTAATATCAGCCCTGAGAAGGCATATGGACCCTGGAAACAGATACGTACACGATAGTATGTTTTGCCCGTTATACTCGCACATCAGATAAAGAAATTATACCCTCTCAAGTATAAGCATAAACTCCTCGGGTTTTTGTTGAGATTCGAGCACGGGAGGGAACGAAAATGAGCAACTCGTTTATACCTAGTATGTCGACGTGGTGGTAAACGGTAAAGAAAAGAAGACTTCGGGTACGGTAAGTAACGGGTTCGGAGCCGGTTGATTCCGACGGCTCGTACAGCCACAGTAACTCTAATAGTTTTATCTCTCGCAAACGCGTCACGCAAATGTACTCAACGTGAGTCAATACAACCGAATCATCACTCTTGAATTCCAGAGTGAATGGTAGGTCGCCTGGTCAAAGTATGAAGTTATTTTCTGACAATGTGCTCTCCGAAATCTCAATATCTCTAGATCTTCTGGTGTTTTCTCTGAGTCTCTCAGTTTCGAACCATCCGAAGCGGTGAGTTTCTTATATAATTCGTCTCGACTGGAAAATAATCCAACAATAATCCAACGTTGCATAGGTTACGGACACGTCATGCTAGGCGTGCTTGAGCTGGAGTCCAGCTCGAATCTGCTTGGGTGGGACTTAGGTTGCAAACAAGAAAATCTCGGAGGATTTCCTTATGAAAAAGTAAGTTCAGATATATCTTTTCTGACGACGCTACTGATAAGAAAGAAAGCTAAAATTTCATGAAAATTACATCATAACACCTTCCAAACACCTTCCGACATTCAATGAGATCTCGCATAGAAGCGACTTTGGTCCACCTCATGATTCCTGTCCTCCTCACCTCGCATACGACCAACATCATTCATCGAGTACTGGCGCTGATAATATCTTTCTCTTTCCACCGTGGTGCCGTCATGCAAGTATCGAGGTTGGTAGTCCTGCAGCTGATCTCTTGGCTGGTATTGCCCTCCTGCTGCGAAGGACGTGCTAGTGGGTGTCAACGAAGGATTGATTTGAGGGTAAGGATTGGTGTTTGGCGAGCTGTTTCGACGGGAATACTGATCCGCGACAGTGCCTGTATGGCATCGATAGTGTCGGAACATATTGGACTTGACGTTGAATTCTTTCCCGCATCCAGGGAATGAGCATCGGTACGCTTCATGTGTAGCTGTTAATACCAGATGCATGAAAGGCTGATAGACTCACGCGTAGCGCCGGTGTGGGTGTTGATATGGACATTCAAGCTACTGGGTCTGAGGAATCGCTTGTTGCAAACCGTGCAGATATGTTTTTTGCTCTCCTCGTCGTCCTCACCTGATGACTGCAGGCGAGGAAGCGATGGAAAGGACTCAGGATATAGATTAGTCTCCTTACGCATGGGCATGCGTGTTGGCTGAGGAAGTACATATGGATGAGACGGAACGAGCGTTGGAGGTACACTGCCTTTCACGTGAACTTCAGGTGAAACGTGTAGCATGTGCTCTGCAAGATAAACACCATTACATTAGTATGGAAGACTATGAATACTGATATCGACTTACCTGGGAACATTTCATGGATACTGGGGAGAGAGACGTTCGCGTTATCAGCCATTCGTAACTGGGTTCTGTGGCTGGAAGCATAAGCATCATCTGGTTATGTACTGGTTTATTACCTTCAGAATCAGCAGCCGCTGCAAGTACGGAACGATGTGCCGATGGCAAGCATGTTCTTCCATCCAGTGTGCGTGAGGAATTCTTCATTTTTCTGTTTTCATCAGTTTGAACACTGTGTAACCATCACAAACTCATCCTTTCGCAATGTCTTATTCACCACTACGCCTCCCACGGCTATACCACAATCACGGCTTCCAGAATCTCCTGATTATCCTTCATTGTCTGCGGAATGCCTTGCACGGCAGTTTTCCGGCAAGAAGACCCCTTTTGGTCTCCTGGTTAGGACTTTCTAACCCTGTCGCTCATATTCTTTCATTTTCGTGTGATTTCGACGATTCCGTAACAGATTCAAGTTCTTTTATAGCAAATGGCACGTCACTGACAATCTCGCTACGACGGTCTGCAACCATCCTTACACAACCAAGATTTTCTTCCTGTTTTCGGAGTGAGATGTGCGCTATCCGTCGGAAGATCCCACAACACGATGCTTCACTATCGTGTTCGCGGCATGTAACCCAGGAGGAAAGTTACGGTTTATGGAAGTTGAGAATTCCACTTGGATGGAAAACGGTGAATCGTGGTGATCCTTTGATTATTTATACCATCATTCCCTGTTCGAGTCTATGATACATACTGGCTATTTAATTGCATACTCACAGGGGCCAACTACGCTAGGTATAATCAGCACTCTCCACTGGTCACCTTGCTAAATATACCTTTAAGGCCGACGTGTTTGCACCTTGGGGAACTGCCGGCATCCGCGGATTCTGTAGATATCTGTTCCATCTTCAGCGGACGTGAGACTAGCACCGGAAATCGGCAGAATTTTCTATTTCCGTAGGATGCAGTCGAACATCACAAAAGGATCGCAAAGTAATCAAGCAGCTACGTACCCTCTATTCAGTTCGTCCAGCTGCCGGAAAGGATGACAGCAACAATGGAATACATGTGAAGTAGAATGGTGTACGAGATACCAGAGCCCAGAAACTTATATGAGGGTACCATTGTCGAAGCTCCAAGTGTGTTGGTAGCCCAGACAGAAAATCATTTGATATACAGGAGCGGAATAAAGGGCAAATCAAGTTACGTACACGTTTTTTTTCATCTGATCTCGTCCCGTTGTACCCGGTGATTGTTGCATTTACGGTATATCCCAATTCAACTAGCATTACAGGTACAGCACCAGTACGCGCCCGGTAGGTCCTTCCCTTGAAAGCGAGGAGGTATATAATCGTTGATTGTCGGGCAAATCTTAGTCTTCATATCTTATTCCGACAGGCATTATTTGGAACTCTTTTCATTGCGTCTCTATTCTTCCCTGTCCATTGTCCTTCTTGTTCTCGAAGGGGAGAAACTGATTCCCGATACCGGGATCAAAGGCACCAACTGTTCAAGTACGGTACACACGCAGGACGATGTCCCCGGTTTTCAATTCTCCGTTCTCAATACGTGTCCTAGCGTTCCTTCTCAAGACTTCTTATACAGCCGGTTCCAAGCTCGGGCGCAGGGTATAGTTATGTGTGTATAGTCTTGGACCCAGCGGTTTCACCATGACCCGGCATAATGACAGCATTGAAATTTGACAGGCACATCAGATGTCGCAGCCGATGACATGGGTTGGTAATTTCCTGAGTACCCTCTAGGCGAAGTATTTGGGACGGTTCTGTTGAAACAGTCATTTATTCTCTTATTTGTTCATGCAGAGACTTTTCACTGTTCTTCAAGGACGTGATAGAGTATGTAAAAGGGAAGGATTATTGTTGCACTCTACCGACGCATGCAGGTAAAGCTACACCACACTCAAAAAAACTTAGTGCGGACAGTCCAGTCTGTTCATAGAAATCTCTAGCTGGATATTGACTACGTTTGGGAATATTCAGGTACAATCCTACAATGTACCTTTCCCATATTCCAGCGCTGATATCTTTACAAACAGGATTGTAACTTCTTTTCCATTTCGCGCTTGTACAGATGTCAGTTATTCCTATACAGCAGCACTCGCTCTCCTCAAGGGAAGTCCAGATTATTATGGCCGACTATGTCCCAGCAAAACGGCTCGGATCTCTCACATTCTTATAAATGCCCGCTTGTGATGCCGCCATATCATAATTGTGACAGCTTTAAGGGGAAAACTCATTGGTGAACCTATGATATTCTTGTAGATGCGGGAAAGTTCCAGAAATCTGGCTCTGGTATGTAGGCGTTCTTATCGATGGGCAGTCAATCAGGCTCACTGATGGCCGTAGTGATGACTTCCATCTATGCCGCTGCAATCCCCTTCCTTATGCCAGACCCAAGAGACTAGACCCTATCTCTTTTTTCATGTTCTATAGAGATGGTTCGAGGTGTTCGCTGTCGTAAACACAGAACATCTCAATATCGATACGAGTCTCATAACAAAGGTATGATTGAAGGACATCCTGCATGTCTGGTACCGCCATACCGTGTGCCGACTGCACGATAGTCTGAAGGCTCGGCTTTCTTACAAGGAGCAAATGAATGTGTGCCCCACCCAGACTCTACTTCAGGTAAGCTATATGTCAACACTGGATGAAACAAGATGAACGTGACATACTGCATTGTAGTTGCATGCCCAAAGAATAACTCGCATGCATACCATGCGATAGGTCAGGACCCCTGATTAACCCCCAAAAGGTTAGGGCAGAAATTCTGTCATTTTCGAAAATTTGTCCGGACTTTCGTTGATGTCCAGACCCCAAATTTGGTCCGGATTTTGCGCACAACCTACCCTTCGGACCAAATTTGTCTGGATTTTTGTCCCAACATTACAGAAATTCTGCCTAACGCTGTAGCAAAAAGCAGGCAAAGTACACCTAATTTACTATCATCTATTTGCCAATGAAAACAATGACGAAGTCTTTAAAGAACCTTACAGAAGACAATTAACGTGCGCACGATAGGGTCCTGCCGACAAGCCGAACTGTGACTTGTCCGGATTTAGACACCTTGCTACGCAGCCACCCATTGTCCAGATAACACCCTAACATTACAGCTCGAAACGGTAAATTTGTCCGGATTTTCGCCCCGACCATTGGGGGAATAATCAGGGGTCCTGATAGGTCCTTATTGAAGGAAAATGTCAATGGGTGCTTACTAGCCCATTAGGTTCGAAGATGATAGGCCTGTCGAGACAGCATATGTCGTCTGTATTAATGGCGGCTGCACGTTCTTTTCGCCCAGGTGATTGAATGATTACCGCTTTAAGGTTAGCCTTTACGGAGGTCCAATTGCGTCCTATGGATACAGACAGCCTTTTCCTATCGACTGTCAGTCGCTCTGCTATGCGTAAAGAGGAGAAATCCGGGCGGTAAGGCTTCCGCCGCTCAGATCTGAGATCTCACACGGGTAGTAGTACAGGGATAACAGCTTCGATGCTTGGATTATTCATGTCCTAGTCGATCAGAGAAAGAAGAATCATTAAGCAAGTTCTATCGGTATCAGGTACATATCTGCCATGATCGTGGATCGGATCTCATACTCACGGTTCAATACTTATCCCCACAAGATAAGCCTAGACCTTAGTATCATGTCGATCGGATCTGGCAGCCCGAATGAAGGGCATGATCTGCCTACTGCTAAACCTTCCAAATAAACATTCTAGCCCGCACCTCAGGCGAGTATTAACACATTCGTGAGTCTGTTTTTTTTTTGAGTTGATCTTTTTGCGGCTTGAGAAAATTTGAACCCGTTGTGTCAAGTATAACTGCGGTGAAGCCGCCAGATACTCTGGTTCGTGCCTCCAATTCTATCACACAGCCATGTTGTTTCAGTCATGATTGCGGCAGAGTTCACGCCATACATGGCATGGATTCAGTCACTTTGATGGATGCAGAGCCTTCCATTGTTGTGATGCTATCATATCGTCAATGTTGATTCACTTGTGAACTTTGGACGTCCCTCGTACCACTCACCTCTGCAAAGATCTCAGAGGCCCCGTTCACTGAGTTTATCCAGGGCTTTTTCGTCCTTATTTCAGGCATCTACCTCAAAGGCCTGTTGCAACGATGTCACCTCCATGACTGTGGAGTTCGTGAGTCCAGTACCTATCGCGTCGCACTTCTATGTCGCTAAACGGTTCTAGGAAAAGTTCCATCTTGTGTTAATAAGATAGTATTCTCGCCCTTCGAGATTATTCTCATTACAACAGTGAACAGCAAGCACTGGCTCAAATGGAAGATGTGGCGAGCTCATCTCGATAGCGCTTATGTCGCGAACCTCTTCGACTTCCAGGGTCGCATCGGGACAACTTTTGAATCCAAAAGTGTTACCAATAATAACGGTTGGCGTTTACTTCACCGTATGAACGCTCTCACGTCCTGATTCATCCATAGATATACTTTTGAAGTTTCACGGACTCCTTCTGTATCTTATCATGGGCACTTCAGGTGAGTAAGATGTATTTCCTCTCACCAATGCATCCGATCGCTGACATTCATTACTTTCTGCGCACTCATCACGTCGATGTAATAACATCGGAGCAATGTCGAATACTATGATCGTCCAATGTACGTCGTACTTGATTATTGCTCAATTTCCTTTACTTTCTCATGTCCACTGAACGGACGCGCGCAGGAAACTGACGGGATTTTCTAGTCTTTCTAATATTCGGGAAGAGACGCATCCCGTTTACAGGGTTGGGGTACCAAAAGGCAATATTAACCAGCGGTAAGAGGTACAATGCCTAACAGACAGCCTAGCGAGGTTGGTTTGGCCAAATTGCCGGAACAGCTTTGTCTCTCTTGTTCAAAAAATTGTTACCGTTCACTGTTCTTGATATTGTCGAAAGAAGAGTCAGCGACTGAATCCTGAGGAACATTGCTTTTCTCTCTCATGAAGGACTCGACGGCCATACAATCGTGCTTCATTGATAAGTGGTGTTCATAGATGGGATTGCACGCATTCGTATCTGATCCTGAATCCTCGGCGTGATGCAGGGGTTCGGTAGCAAGATAGGGCACATAGAGTAGAAGACCCGCATGTCGGATATCATTTGCAGGCTGTTGATGTAGTTTTGACGGCTGTACTGATATCGTCGTCCTATTTTTGAGGTTAAAAGGGGTCGCCGCACATATTCAGAAGTTGTGCAACTCCGTGTCGGAAACAGGACATAGACTACAGGCGCTGCTATTCCTTCCTAGACCATGTTTGCTGTTGGCGGTACATTCGCTTCTCAGACCGCAAAAGATCAGTGATATACCACAATCTTTGGCCTAGTTACACCTTCTTTCCCGTTATCAAACCCAAAATAAAAGCATCGTCCACACACAGCTACCACGCGGAATCGAACGGCGACCATCCGAGCAAGTTCCCTTTTCGAGCACGTTATCAGAGAGGGCCGATCTCCCATTGATCTGCTGAAGGAGTCCTGCCAAGATTGAAGAGAGACACAATCCACCGCCTTCGAAAGCTGTAAGGGAGAATGGAAAGATGACACGAAACGTTGTCTCACATCGAAGGTGGATTGCACTTGTCACGTCGTACGTCGCGCGATGATCAAGGAGGTTAACATTACTAGGAGCGAGCACCGACGTGACTGCACCCCAATCTGCCGACGACGGAACCAGGCCATCAGCGTGTCATCGAGGAATTGTTAGTATACAATGGAAGAATGGAGAATTTCTCGTGAAGTGTGAAGAAGTTGTAATCAGATCTCAAAAACATCCAAGGGGAAAGAACGTCCTTATGAAATGGGTACCAGAAAAAGAACCTGAAAGAGGTGTATCTGCACCGCCGTCTTTCGTTTTGAAGGATTATTTGCATATGAACCTTTATGCGGGTGGGCATGAGAACGAAGGGACGGGGGAGTAGGCTTAGGATTACCGTGGAGAATTTCATTCATCTGATCTTGGCTCGATGCCACAAAAACGAAGATATGCCCTGCGGGATTCGGTTTCTGGATCAATAGTACCACGCGAAGTCGAATGTCCATCGTCCTAATCGAAGCTGTGGAACCTCCACTCAGAGAAAAAGTGCTTCTCTTACCATTGGAGCCGAGATTACCGAGCAATGAGAAATGGGACCGGCCGCGTATCATGGCACAAAAGCTGCCCTATATATGATAAGGTGACGATATAAGAGACAATAACTCACTGTGAGTAAACTGCTAAAGGAGAATCCTCGCCAGTCCTCCAAAGGTGTACATGAACTTGATAACGGGAATATCATCCTCTGCTGAGAACCCGTCACTCCTATGAACGAGCAGAGTCTATTATAGTCGAGAATTTAAGAAAGAAAGGAGAATTGTTATAGTAGAACTTCGTTAGTCTACTGATCCTGCAATCAGAAACCTGACAACAGCCATAATGAAGACGGAGCGCTTCCAAGACAAAGGCGAGTACCCTCTGAACTATTGACTTCCAAGCGGTGGACCTGCACCAGAGATTTCAGAGAGCGAAACGAACATGTCAAGCGGAATATGGCAGCAGAGAATAGACCAGTGGTCGACTCCGGTTAGGTATTAGGACCGGCTTGCCATCCTGTGTTTTCGGGAGGCTGCATCGACTTGGGACCAGAGACATGTCGTGATCAAGATCGAGGGTTCGAGAGAACAAGTGGATCGGCAGTGCCGATGACGACACAAGAGGGATCTGCATCTAATCTATGTCAGCGGACAAAAAGCAGGCTTATGTGTAAGGCCTCGCCGTGACCAGAAACCCACCAACGCTCTTCATCCGTCTCCGAATCCTCGTCGCTCAGACCTCAGACCGACTGCGCCCAGTTCATGCTGCGTTCGCCATCAAGCATGCAGAGCGAGAGCGTATATTGTTGACCCAGGCCAGCGAGAATCAGCTCAGTGCGACCGAAGCATGACAGTGCAGAGAAAGGCCATCAAAATTTGAAATTACAGATATCGGCAATTAACGCTTCGGGACCGACCGGCTACTCAAGTACTTACTCCACCATCGACGCTGCCACGTTACCTACACCAAGCCGACCGTGCCGTGTTGTACTACCTACGCATATACGCTAGTCAGGCTCCCGGCAATGAACCCCCAGAGTTGAGTATGGAAGAGTACAGAATTACAGCGGTTTGCATACAGCTTGACAGTAGCATGTGTTTTGCACGAGAGAAGAAAGTAATTTGGACTTGGTCATAAACCATGGTTTATGGACTTGAAGACGCGTTTATGGCTGGTTTATGGCTATTTCGGCGATCTCGGAGGTCCTTTTGCGTGCTTGAAGTCCCCAAAAAACGGTTTATGACCAAGTCCGAGCCTTCTTTCATCATCCACGAAAATGCCCCTGACTGTCAAGCTGTATGCAAACAGCTGTAACGTGACCGCCGTTTTACCACCTGAACCCCACACGAAAAATTTGAAATTTCACAAGCAAAAGGTTGACAATGACTCAAAATCGCCAGTTGGGGGAGTCGAACCTTCCAGCTGGTGCAGCTATTCAATCAGTGTCATGGCGTAGCCTTCCCTCCAATATACGATAGAAAACTGGAGCACAAGAATAAGAGTAAAACACGAAGAATTACAGTTCCGGGATGGGTAAGCTCGGAATTAAATTCGAACGGCCTGTTTGTACAGATCGATTTATTAATAAACGAGAATGATAATATCAAGATTACCTAGGGTTACACAAGGAACCATGATCCCCCGCTGAATAGAGGCCTGACCTCACGGGAATAAACCTGGAACAACCCACATTTTGTGCAGGCAGTTGCTGTAGTGGCCCCGCCTGCTATTAGGGTGAGTAGTTGGATAATACAGTTTTTGCCGTAGTTCAGAAGGGTCGGAGGTTCGAATCCATACACGAACGAGGTACCAAATTTATCTGACGACCTTCAGTCAAATCTGGAATACTCGTTCTATAATAATTCCCTAGAGACGCTACAATGATCTCAGGGATGAAATCTCTTCTTGGTAGTAGGATGAAGTTTATGAGAACGAGTTGATTTGATCTACGGCGGTGCTGTTCCTACTTGGCTTTAAAGACGCTTCGAGTTCTCAAAGCGAAGAAAAGACACAGACGCTAATAAGATTCCGCTACCCTCACTACACCGTGTCTTCTTTCGCAGACTGGGATCGAATTGATACTACAACATGCAACAGTGTTATTTCCATGTGAACTTTCCCTGTACACATACAGCTCAATACACGGTGGGTTAAGACAGGAACAGATCCAAAAAATCACGAGGCTTCCGACAATGCTACAGTGCGGAATCGAACCGCCATGATCTTCGCCAAGAAATCGACTGAGCATCCATTAATCTATGGTAGCTTAAAAAGCGGACTGAATTCCCTGCGTAGAATAAGAAAATTTCGATGTATGAGAAAGAGAGCACTGCACGACGACCAGTAGGCTGATGATCTCTCCTCGTTGCGCAGGATGCCTTCTTTACGGCGAGCGAGCTCTCCTGAAACAAACCAGTTATTCAAAGATTTGAAAATAGTAAAGTGACAGACCTCGCCAAAAAGTATGTCATATATTTCTCCTGCAGTACAACCCCGTCGGACTCGAACCGAAGCTTGGGATCCAGCCGTCCCGCTGATCTACGGTGGTGTATTGATTAGATGAAAAAACGAGAAAAAAGCCTGGTCAGTGGTGTTACCTCGTCTATGAGCTGACCCATGGAATCGAACCATGCGCAGCCTGCCTCATACGCCCTTGATCCATTTTGACGTGAGAAGTCAGACTCTAGAGCGGAGGATGTCCAATAAGGAAAGCGGTTCATTATTCTCTGAAGGAAAGGTACCACCGCGAGGATAACACGTGACAGGCACGAAAAAAGCGTTGCTGGTTCGACAGTAAACAAGCCCAGGGAATCGAACCACTGCATTCCTAGACGTTCTCCCGATCGTCTATGATGTCTTGGAGTTGTAGTTGTTAAGGCAGTATTTCCTATTCTAACCTTGCAAGTTCAACATCGGTGGCAAAGGAGCATTCCGTTGTGCCCTCATCGTTGTCTGCGACGAACTCGAGGAAGTATGGATTTGACGACGACGTACTGCTCGTTGACTGTATTCGTGTCGGAACAGCAACGGGGTGAACTTTCTGAGAAGTGTCGAGAACGATGAGCTCGCGTTGTTCTAGAATGTCCAACAAACTTCTCTAGTTCTAACAGCCTTAGTTTGGAGCGCCGGTGTTATTGTTCGCACACTCCTAGTGGCTTAGCTGTTCCACGGTCATCGCAGTCCATCAACGCTGATCGAGAAGCACATCCACTGTGATAAGTCATGTTCATGAAGACACTGTTCTTGCTCGAGGCTAGTCTGTAGTTTCGACATCATGTACCGTGGGTGTGTCGAAGCTTCTGGAGGATTATACGGTCTGTGAGAGGATGGTTCTGTTGACAAATTTTTACAACTTGGATG